GCAAGCTGTCATCACGAGTGCATTTTGATACAGTGAATAAATATATAATTGTTTATAAACCTAGGATTACTATATATATATGCTATCCAAAAGAAGTCTTGTGCTCCTTTTTTCAAATGAAATATAATGTCCTACTTTCTTTTACCTTAAAATGACCTCATTTTCTCTTCCCACTGCTGTACAAGTCTTAAGTTATATCTACTTTTCAAGAGAATGGGCGTTGTATTTTAATTTTTGCTTCAACAGCGAGGGATTTCATTATTTTAACCCAATAATGCCCATCGTAAAATCCAATTTTAATCCTAAAATTTAAATAAAATCAGGTGTTAATCATAGGTTTGAAAAAAATCTAGTACTGATTATATTTTTTTTAATCTGTATAGGTTTTAAAAAAATGAAAAAAAATCTGGTATTAATATTTTCTTTAAAATCTGCTATAAATTTTAAAATCCAGTATTACTAATATATTTTTTAATTCCTTATTAATTATATATTTTTAATGTGGTATTAATTTTATTTTTGAAATCTGGTGTTTAATTATATATTTTTAAAATCCGGTGTTATTCATTTTAAAATCCAGTGTTTATAACCGAATGAGTATATAGTATATATATATATATATATATATATATATATATATATATATATATATATATATATATATATATAACCGAGTGGGTAAATATATGTATGTAAGCAGTGATCATATACAAAAACATCCTTTAGTGTAAGAAAAAACAGTGCTCAATGTAAAGTAACAGAGCTATTAAAATATTAAAATCAAGTGTTAATTAAAAATATTTTTTCAAAAATAAAAAAAAGAAAAATAAACGGTATTAATTGTAGGTTTTTCAATAAAAAAAAAGAAAAGAAAAACAAACGCTATTATAGGTTTTTACAAAAATAAAAAAGAACAGATAAACGGTATTAATTATAGATTTTTCAAACAAAAGATGTAAAAATAAACGGTATTAGTTATAGGTTTAAAAAACTATACGTCATTAATTGTCTGTTTCTACTAATAATCTATTAATGACGAATATCCCATTTCGGGGCCGTGGACATTAATGCGTTAAAATAAGTTTATTTTTGTATTTTTCTTTTTCATAATGCAGATACTAAACTTCTTTTTTCACTGTGGGCGATATGAGTGGTGTAGGCTTACTGTGAAGTAAAATCAGGCGCTAAATCTTCTTTATATGACATAGGTGATCATGGGTCACCACAACTTCCTGTCTTGTAGCTCTTAATAAATATTGTCTTTATGTTATTTTTCCTAAATCCTGTTCCACCATCCATTTACTCAAGCTCACTAAGTAGGTTATGCGTTGTTTTCCCCTGCCTCTCTTTCTCTCAATCTGACCTGTGAGTATCAGAATTTCCAATCCCTCTTTCCTCATTATGTGCCCTAGAAATTGAACTGGCTCTTCCTGATGTTAAGTATAAGTTTCCTTTTTGTTTACATTTTCTCTAAAACTTGCTCGTTGCTTACAGAATCGGTCCATGGTATCCTCAGCATCCTTCTATAGAAGCATATTTCTGTTGTTTCATGTCTCTTGATTTGTGAGATAATTGTCCAGCACTGACTGCCGTAGAGGATGAGAGATATCACGTAACAGTTTATTACTCTTTTCCTTGTTTCTAGCGAAGTTTTTCTATTTCTTAATACTTTGCTTAGCTTTAAGAAGAGATCTTTGGCTATCCCAATGCGCTTACGGATTTCAATGTCTCACTTTCCGTTATATTAAGACACTTCCTAGATATTTAAATCGTTTCCTAATAATAATACAAGTTTTAAGTCGATGGCGTGCATGGACTTTAGTTGTTATCTATTAATAAACGGAAAAAATTGTCAAAAATAGCCAGCAATGAAAAATAAGCCTAAACAGCTAGAATTTGTTCGATGCTATAACATTACTTTAATTTTTGTTGTTTTTTATCTATATCTTAAATTTAGTTTTATTTTGAAATATCTTTCATATTAAATGATATCAGAATAGACATGTCCACCATTTTATATGTTTGCGTCCAATAGCCTTATATAGGTTTGGCTTTCGATTTAACTGTTGCTTTGCCGGTTTTCAGGTCATGGGGATCAATAGCATTACTGAGTGTGGAATGCTTGTTTTCCCACTGCCGACAATTCAAATAATTATGCAATTATAATTAATAACAAATTTCGTTTGTTTCCCTTTAACTTCAAAAATCTATTACATTCAAATGATTAATAAGTTTTCAATTTTATAAAACCGTTTCTAAATTAGATAATGAAACTGTTACTAAAATGAATGGAAAATTTAAAATTACGTGAGTCGTTTGATAAGACTTCAATATTATAAAACAAATTTTTTAGACCAAACTAAATTTTGAAACAGGTATCAAAATGAAGTTTTTTTTTTATTATTTTTCAACATAGGCACCGTTTTAGTCCAGGGTATGACGATAAACTATATCCGACAGCAAGGCCTCTAATCGGGAGACTGGAGTATGGAATGGCCACTTAATTACTGTTATTCCCAGGTTAGCACCTGTTAGGGTCTCAGTTATGCGCAAATAGTTACCCCCACAATAAAAACAATACGTTATGAATGTATAAAAATACATTTTTATGGTGAAATATCAGTAATGCATTTTTATATAAAGAATTACCAACAATACCTATCAATAGTAAAATTACCAACAATGCATTTTATCTGTAGTTGAAGTCATAAAATTGCGTTCAAAATATTTAGATTTCGGCCTTACATAACCCATAGAGGTGTTGATATGCCGCTAAACAAAATCAACCAACTAACCAACTAGTCAGCGTTTTACTGCTACTCGTTTTCCATACTTGTTGTACGCTTTTCATGAATGATTCTTGCTTAACTTTTGAGTTAATTGCGTACACCAACTTTAATTTCAACATCGTGCGAAAAATGCTGACCTTTCAATGGCTCTTCCAATTTTGGGAACAACCAATAGTGCTACATTGGGGATGAATGGGTATGCGCAACAACAGTGAATTTGAAACAGTTTGCGCAATATGTCGACTGCAATGCAGCATTGCGTTGTTAAGATTAAAAATAAAATTCACTCCTTACTCTGTAGATGCGTTGTTTTGAGTTCTGACAATATTTAATTGATTTTTATACGTTTGGGAATTTTCATTAGTGTGCAGCCTTCTAATCGCTTGTCGCTGCATAACTCGTAACTCGGGCATAATACTCATGACTAATGAACACTATTACCCAAGTAGGTTTGAAGCACTGAATGTATGTTACTGTAAAAGTCGGTCTCACAAACCATTAAGAGTGAGATCTTTACTAAGAAAATGTGGCCCTGTCAGGATGGCTATAAGTAAATCATAGATAATTGAATCTTTTTTTTATTGCTAGTTCACCCAATACAAGGCCAAAGGGCCACTCAAGGAAGAGTTATTGAGTGAGATTGTTGTAGGGAAGGAGAAAGTAAGAAATGCATATTATGAGGACTAGTAGGATAGATATCGATTGAACAATAGACCAAGATTGTAGTTGTCAGGGAAGAATTCTTTCGGGAGTCTGTTCCTTAAAGTAACAGTTCTGGGAAATAAACAGTCTGAGAGGAACTTACTATTTATCAAAGGAACTCTAAGAGAATGGGGGATGATTTGCCCTCTAGAACATGGCAAGTTGGTTTCTAGCTGTGAAGGTCTGAGTTGGTGGAATTTGTCCGAACATCTAACGTTGTTATATAGGAATAAACTGTCGTTGCCAACATTACAGAAGTGTCAACGAGTGTTCATTGACATCACAAAAAGCGTAGAGTAGTAAGAGGCTGGCAACGTTTTGTCTGAATAAAACTGATCGTTTGGTATAACATTTAAACACATTTCGGCATGGCGCCCACCTAATTGCGCAAGATCTTAATCAGCTCGTGGCATTAAGACAATATATTAGACTATAAGTCTGTTCAACAAGCGATTTCATAAAATATATTTTTTTATAATCACATTTCATACGTGCGTTGTTGGCGGCATCAGCTAAGCAAAGGACATATCACAAAATGACACAAAAAATTAAGCTTCTGTTTTTCTCGAAATAAAATACTTATTGCTCTGATCTAATTTAGGAAGTAGGTCACTCGGCGACTGATGCTGGTGCCATATAACCCAGTATAACCTGCCGCATGATTTGGTCATCGACGATTAAAACCTTTTCCCCACTATGCTTTTCTGATGATGAGGTTAGCTGGACAAGCAGCAGGATTATTTAGTTTATTTTGTTTTACGGCATATAAACCTCAATGGGTTATTTAATGCCGGCATGATTTTTAGGATACGTTTGTATAAATAGAATATGCTTTTTATTTTTTTGTTGTAAGAAATCAGTTTGTAGATCAGGTTTCATTGACATATTTTTGTAAAGATAGTTTTTTTTTTGTCGAGAGTAAAATGTATTGTTGGTAATTTTACTATAAAATGTATTTTTATACTTTCATGGTGTTTTGATCTCAATTTGGGGGTTAAATATTTGCCCATAGCTGGGCGGACCTGGGAACAATAGCAATTAAAAGGTGATTCCACGTTCCCCAAAAACCCGGAACGGAAGCCTGGTCGCTGACTGTTGTTAACCGTCATACCTAGGACGCGCAACATGATTAAAAACAAGACCTATCAAATTCTAGGTGTCAACGGCCATCCAGTACAATAGGTTAGGCTAGTTCTCATGATTATGTATACAGCCAGTACGAAGAAGACATGAAATCAACGATCAGGTCAGAGGTTTTTTCCCGATAGAATCAAACGCCATGCGCTCGTGACTAAGGTAAGTCTTCAGATTGGAGGACATCGACTGAGGTATAACCTGGAGAGGGGTGGACTCCACCAGGTTTACTTACCTAAGACATGCTATGTATGAATGAATATTTGTATGATTTTCAATCCAAATATTAGGGAGGGAACCGGCCAGATGTTTTGCTGCACAGCAACCCTAAAGCCGGTAACAATTTGTTAGTAATTTATTCGATTTTCATTTCAGGGCCCGTTGCAGTCAAAGGCGAACTTCCATTGGTGGATAGCATTAATCGACCCAATTGTGGCGCGGGACACGTAAGTTTATATCTTTGAATAGTTTACATTTAAATAATATTTTTTATGTATTGTTCAAATGTATACAACCGTTCGTAACGTCTATTTGTTGTTTTCAATATTCGATGTTGAATACACAATTGAAAACCAAGTTCAGAATTTTCTTTATTCATGTTCATTTATCCTGCATTGAGGAAAGAAAGAGTTTTGAATGACAAGAAATTCTTGCAACATGACACGTTTTTTTTCCATTTGGAAAAGAGGAAAGCAGCAAAAGCGATGATGATGATGAAGCATGTGGATATGATTCGGCTGGAAGCAGGTGAATTTGACTTAGAGGACTAATGACGTAGCGGTAGGACATAATTATGAAATTATGTTTCGTAAGTTCCTTTGGATGACGACCCCCTCCCCCCATCCACTCAATCAACGCTAGAAGAGACTTTGCCAAAGAGACTTTGCCAAAGAGACTTTGCCAAAGAGACTTTGCCGAAGAGACTTTGCCAAAGAGACTTTGCCGAAGAGACTTTGCCGAAGAGACTTGGTGTATATCACTGAGCAGGGGTTAAAAGAAAACAAAAAATCATATCTCTGGACATGAACAATAGAACGAAAACAATCTATGTCGTAGTTTTGTTAATCATTTCATCCCAAGCAAAACAATAAATTCACTAAGACACGAGGGTTTTTTGAGTGTGAGAGAATATGTGAAAAAAAAAGTTAACAATAAAGAACATAAATTAAGAAAACAGAAGATAACGATTGACATTGCATTTAAATGGAAAACAACAAACAGGAAGAGAGTTGCACAAGCGAGAAATGCCAAAGAAGAAACTATCGGCATAGGACTTACAGTTACATTTATTCATTTCAACTGCAAAATCATGAGGCCTTGCCACCAATCTGTGCTTAAATTGATGAATCTAGCTACCATAGAGGAAAGCTCGTTAGAACAATTACCATGCAAGTATTTATAGAAAAGGCAAAGGGGGGGGGGCTATGTTACGGCGGTGGGAAATTTGTTGTGCTATAAGAATTTTTCATAAGTGAGTCTTTAAATTTGTAAATAGTCCACCCATGCTGTCAAAAATGATTGCATCTTTTGTAAAGTCCTTACTAATGTTGAATTATTGTTGGGTATTTTTCACGATTATTATTATTGATGTACACTGCTCTTTCACGAAGTCAGTCTTATCACCTCTTGGTTCTGTAGACATCTTGTAACAGTCTATCATTGTCATAACAAAGACACTGTCACCGGGCATTACCAGCGCAAAGGAGATAACTTCTTTCACAGAGTTGATCTTTTCACCTCCTGACATTGTTTCATTAGCGTCCTTTTTTAGTCGTCTTTTATCACAATGTAATTCTCTTTATTAAAAAACTTCTAAAAATTAAATATACGTTTCAGAAACTTTATTTGAGGAATATTATCTGATTTAAAGTATAATTAATCTGATTTGAAACAAATATTATTTACTTTAAGTTTAAAATATTGTAGAAATGCCTTTTTAACCTGGCAGTAGTGGTGTTTTTAACCCGAGAGTAGCTGTGTTGATATGTTGACATTATGATGACAAATCTAATCTTGTTCTACGGAGATTTTAACTATAACAACAATTTAAGAAAATGTCATGATCGCCCTTTTCATATAATTTTTGAGTACTCAGTAAACTCTAAAAAAAAATATTCTTCGTAATGTTTTATTGAATTTCAGAAATGTTGACTTTAAATTTACTATAGTTATCGCTCTTATTTTCTGATACTGTCGAGTATGGTCATCTGTATTTACAAAAATCGGCACGTTTCTACACACAAACAAAAACAATTCAAAATTTGTTTAAAAATATTGGGCTTTGATGATTTGTATAAAGCTTTTTCCATTTTTAGTAAATATAGTTTTCACTTAATAATAATGTCATCTAGAATACTGAAATGAAGACAAAATTTTAAAAGATTTAAAACTTGATAAATTTTTCTAATTAAAATCTAAAATAAATGAAAGCAATTCTTGTAAAAATTCATTATTCATCGAATTTATTTTTCTTAATAGAGTTCTTAATGTATTTTTTAATAAAAACAAAAGCTTTTCTAAATAAATAAATGTCATAGTTTTATTGCTTTTTTTTATTTTATGATTCAGAGCAAATTTTGGGTAAATAGTGTTTCGGTTTGACAAAAACAATTTGATTTAAATTCTCCAAAGAGTCCTGCTTTTAACTAATATAAATATGAACAGGCTTAAATTTTAATTTCTCGAAATTTCATAAAATTAAGTAAGTGGGAATAACAGAAAAATGAAATATAAGTCCTGAAAATTTTGTTAAAATTCGACAATTGTTTTATTTTTACAAGAATTTCCCAAAACAATGTGTTCTTTAACAACAAAAATGACGCTACTTTGGCCCACCAACGATGCAAGAACAAGATTTTTAACCAAAATTACGAACTAGCTAAAAAGCATTAAAAAAATGAATAAATTAATCCAAAAATACTTATATATATATATATATATATATATATATATATATATATATATATATATATATATATACACTTTAAGAATCAGGAGGTCAGTTGAATCCGCTACCTTCGTTTCAACTTTTACGGTATCCTCAGGCGATTACTATCAAATGACATCTTAACGCTTTATTTATTTATTTTTTTTAAAAAACACTAATGTATGCTATATTATTTAAAAAGAAAATAAACAAACGCACGATGTTGGATGTAATAAAAAGGGAGGAGGAAGATAAGAAGGAAGAGAAGAAAAGCAAGGGTGTTATGAATGTATCGGTGGGGGAGTTAATTGAAATGTATATTTTTTTATCCAGTTTCATATGTGCTTAAGAGGAATTTTCTAATATGTAAGCATGGACTCAAGACTTCGGGTTTAGGGTTCAAAAAGTTCTTTGGATCAAGAAATGTCATAATTGCTTATTTTTCCTGTTGGCAGAGACTGCAATTATTGTGGTTGTTATAAGACTTCGCCTTTTTAAAAAATTTCCAGTATACGATTGGATCCCTGTTGTTTTTTTCTTTTAAATTTCACACATGGTCAGCTAGTTTGGTAGTGTACCTAAGATTTACTAGCTTGATTGGTGACCTATGATTGTACCATCTACGTTTGAAGTACCTTCAGTACATCCTATGTGCATTTTATTTTAGCCATTAATATCTGTTACTTTTGCTTTAAAGGTTATTGCTTTGGTTTTACAAGTTCCATCTAATGGACATCTATTTTTATTTCTACAGTTGCATAAATTACTAGTGTTAATGTTAACTATATTTTGCTGCTCGTTAGTTTTGAGATTACTGGAGTTTTGTCTATTTATTATTTTTCTATTTATTATTTTCCTAGTACAGCTGTAGCTTAATTTAACTGTTTTTATAGAATATCTTATGTAATTCTGAATTTTTTGGAAGTAACTTGAAAAATAATTTCCCTATTTTACATTTCATCTCTAAGTTAAAAGGGGAGGTAAATGAAATGATATTTTTTCTTTTCCTCGAATTGTTCTTCATATGTTGTTTAATTTGAGGTTTAAATACTGGTTTGGTTTTGTGACCCTCAAAGTTCTTCTCATATTCTTTTTTTATCCTCAAAAATTATTTTTTTTTTTACTTTTTATATTATATATATATATATATATATATATATATATATATACTAAAAACACCAATCAATATTGCCGCGACCAACATGCAACTTAGACAAGAAAAAATTCCGAACAAAGAGAACCCCCCCAAAAAAAAAACAAACCACAAGGCAAACACCTAACCACGCGGTAAATTAAAGTTTTCAACGTGGAGAGTATCTAGATATAGCAAAAAAAATGCTTCACCACGTCAACACTTAATGAAGGTCATCTCGAATCGCTACTCAAGTTTCACGCACTCTCGATCTTCAGGCGACTGAGATAGAGAGAGAGAGAGAGTCGTTGCTGTCTGTTGGATTTTAAATCAGCCTACTGAAATCAAAGTTTTTTTTTTCTTTTTTCAAATCTGACATCTTCGTTTAATAACACCGAATTTTTTTTGAAACGTTGTTGATTGATATTCCTTCTGATTTTCTTCCCGAATTCAGCAAATTCCTCGGACACGGGTCGAAACCTACGACCGAGTGCAAGCTTTAAGAGCTTGGTTTTCTAATCCGGTTGGAGATGGACGCAGCATCCAGGCGTACATAATTGGCTCTGCCGATCAGCACCAGGTAAGCATTAAACAATTGCTCATAGAACCGTTTAAGCGAACAGGTGAAGGGTTCGCCTTCATTCTGTTTCAAAAGAAAGCATTGTCAATTATTAATAATCCCTGACTATTATGTTTTTCATCTAAATTTCAGTTGTCTTTTATTGACAACTTCACAGTCAACTATTAACACTACCTGACGATGGCTGTAGAATGATAGTTAAACAAGTTGCCATAAAAAGCAAGTAAAATTAAGATGAAAGAAATGTTAGTCAAAAACTAAATCACTCAATACTGACAGTATCATTATCAGCAGTATTTTCCTTTTTTTATTTTTTCTTAGATGAAATGTTAGTAACTCTTTTTATTATAAAATGATTAATATATTTTTGCTAATACTCTCCTTAATACAAAGCCCAAGAGCCACTCAAAGTAGCGGGTTACTGAATGAGATATGAATGTAAGAATAGGGACTGAAGATTATAAGAATGTGTGAAATAGATAAAGATTGAACCTAGATTTGAAGAGGTTAAGATTATTGCGTTCGTGGAAGTATCCACACGGGAGTCTCTTTCACAAAGTAGCGGTTCTTGGGAAGAGTAGAACTTCCTCCTTACAAATGGAATATGGAAAGAATGAAGGCGATTCAACCCTGTGAACGGATTAAGGCAGGTCATAGTTATAAAAATCTGAATCGGCAGGAGGCACTAAAGAATGGAGTTCGTCTGAACATTTGCCATGCGCGAAGCGATAGGCAAGGGACGTTGCGTCTGTGGGAAAGGGAATTTACTTTCAATTTAATTTTTCTTCTTTAGTTGCATTTTTATTGCAACGTTTCTCAACCTGTTGATTTAAGCTGTCATTTCACTGTCGTAGTTTAACGACCTGAGTAAAATGTGCAAATAAAAAAATGAAAGTAAATACATTTAGAGCATGTATGTATGTATGTATGTATGTATGCTGGCCGCTTAGCTTCGTGCATGCTTGTCTACTAGGGCGGCTAGCATTATCTAGCATGATCAACATACTGAACAAGGCCAGCACGCTGAAACCCTCGGTCACGATGACTTGTGACTTCATGCTAGCACAAACATCGACGGCTCCCAAATAATTCCGTCTGCTCAATTTCAGTCACAAGGCTTGTATCATCTCGTGGTATGGTTTTCCGACACATTCCAAAGGTGCCACCCCCTAGAATAGCTTTCCCGGGGCAATAACATCAAAAAGTCTCCTTCCTGACAAATGCATGGTGAGATTCGAATCTTGGTCTCTTGGTTGCAAAGTGAACACACAAATATCTTTCTCTCTTTCATATATTGTCATCCACAGACAGACTGTTTCGCTGTATCACAGCTCTTCAGTATGGCTGGACGTCCGATTGCTTCAAGCCAGGATCGAAACCCGACCGATTTGGTATCAGTCAGAGATTCTAGGCTATCGTCGCACGGCAGAGAGGAAGGGAAATTTTTAAGTTTTCTATGCAAAATACATCAGTGGCCAAGAGAGCTCAATTCAATTCTGTTAAAGAGCAATATATATAATGTGTGTGTAATTTAGCACATTGAGTACTGGTGTTAATAAAATAACCCTTGATGTAGAATAACAGGGCTATAAATTAAATATTAATAATAAATATAAATATACACGTTTTCCCCTCACCGGTAGCACAACTTCATTCATAACGCAATCTTCGGCCGCTGATTGAAAACACACACACACATACACACACACTCACATATATATATTTATGAAATGGATTGATTCAGACAATTATTTAGTATATTTTATATTTATACTTTATTTTAATAGATACAGTTTATTTAAGTAAATGATGTATATTTTTAAAAAATAAACAGTATTAATTACATTTACCAGTCTGAACGGTTGTCAGCGGGGAAAGTGGAATCGACGAATTTTACTTCCGACTTCGCCTGTTGGATGCACTTACTCATCCTTGGGGAAGAATCATCTCTGATCACCTCTCTCCAGATTATATAGCAGAGTAGACAGGTTTCTCTATTATTGCGTGTGAAATAGTATAAGAGACGGATTACTCTGAAGGTAGAGAAATCACAACGGGAAACCACTCCACTATCTTTCCCAAGAAGTCATAACTGTCATCGTTGAAGTTAGTGAGAGTTCATCGCCATTTTCATTTGGTGTCTCTGAAGTACTTACATGCCGCGTATTCTACAGGAATGAGAGTAAAAGTAACACGTGCTGACTCTCCAGCGCCAAAAGGTAAAAGAGACTGTGCCTCTTAATGTTATCGCCATCTTAGGGGCGGTAATCAAACACATTTTTCTAAATTGTAAGCAAGTATTTTTAAAAGCCATTCAACACTTGACTCCTGCTGGAAAATGATTAGTCAAACTACAAGTAAAGCTAACTCTAAATTTGAAATGTGCTTAAATTTTGACTAATTAAAGAGTTTTTTTTTATAAATAGAAAACTAAAAGTCGTGTCGATTAAGTTTTCCCGATAATAAAGATAGTGATACATTTTAATCATTTCACCCCAAGTAATACAATAAAAGCCACTAGAATGCAAGGGGTTACTGATAAGGAAAGAAACAAAAGGCAATAAAAGAACAGGGTTTAAGAAGACAGGAGATGAAGATTGACATTGCGTTTAAATTTTTGAATATCGTAATTGACAGGGAAGTCGGAAGAAAGTTTGGTTTGGCTTGTTTTGTTTTACGGCATATCAACCTCAAGGGGTTATTTAATGCCGACAAGATTTTTACTGCTGCTAATATTTTTCAAAAATGTATTAATGGGTTTTTTTTTCTTAAAACAATGTATTGCCGATAATATTTATTTTCTTCAAAAATGTATTTCTGGTAATAATTTTTCCTCAAAAAAATTATTGCTGGCACTAAAAACTTATTTTTACATTTTCATAATGTTTTGACCCCAGTTTGGAGAGGTAACTATTAGCCCATAGATGGGACCCTGACAAGTGCTACCACCTCGACTAATGGTGAACATGGGAACACCAGCCATTAAGAGGTGTTTTCACGCTCCTCAAAGCCACCTGATCAGAGGCTTTGCTGTTGGATGTAGTTTATCGTCTTACCCAAGATGCGGATGTAGTTTATTGTTATACCCAGGACGTTGGAAAGAGAGTTCCAGAAGCGAGAAATACAGGAGGGGAAATTAGCACGGAACGTACGGTTACAACTAGACATTTCAAAACTAATAATGCCTAACTGCCAATCTAGTACTGAGCTTCAATTCATGAAGACAAGGTACCAAAGAGGAAAGCTCATCAGAACAGTTACCGTGAAAATATTTATAGAAAAGGCACAGGGAAGCTACGTTATAGCAGTGGGGAAAATGACTGAAGCCGAGATGCCAGGTCATCAACGATAAGGTTGCAGATTCTTTTTGAATTTAATGAGAGCAAATCGAGTGATAGAAATATTTTCTAGCCCCTTCTTTCATTTCCATTTCATATTTCTCTTATATTGCAAATGTATTCAAACAAATCCATATTTGTTCAAAGGATCTGCGATTTCTTTAAATTTCAGAGTGAATATGTTTCATCATATGATAAAAGACGAGGATTTATCACTGGGTTTCAAGGTTCAGCAGGTAAGAGTTCACGAGTTTACTTGGCACGTATATATGTCTGTATGTGTGTGCATATTCGTGTATGTGTGAGAGACTGTTGAGATCTCATTTGATGTTTATATGGTTCTCATTCTCATGTATTTTATTTTCTCTCTCTGTCTCTCTCTCTCTGTCTCTCTCTATATATATATATATATATATATATATATATATATATAATATGAATAAAAAATATTGGAAATACACTCATCGAAGACCAATCTAATTCCTCAACCCTTTGTTCTTCAGGAGCCAGATAAGATAAGATAAGATTCTTACCTGAGTCCTGAAGATTGAAGCATCGCGAAACTCTAAGTATCGTCAACTTTCAATATTTTTGATACAATAATTATTGCTTTAGATAGCTCTTGAGTACTTTTGTCAAAAGTTCTGTTCGCCTTGACATGCGTTAAAATATATAATTTTACGTATATCAATATGTGATATATATAGGAAAAAAAGTTGAAAATGCAACAAGAGTCTTGAAGAATACGTATTTAGAGTAACGTTTTTAGCCGCGTGGATATATATATATATATATATATATATATATATATATATATATATATATATATATATATATATATATATATATGTGTGTGTGTGTGTGTGAGAGAGAGAGAGAGAAAAGAAATGCTAGCAACTCTGAGTTGACCTTCAATATGTATTTAACATTATTACATTTATTTTAATAATATATTGCTTGTTTGCTGCACGTGATAACTTCGTATTTTCGACTGACGTTAATCATCGATGTTCAAATTAATAGAAGGGACCAGTATTTTATATACCATTTCCAAAGCAAATAGGCTCTCATTTACTTGAAATATTGAAAGTAGTACAATATTTTTACTTCTTTTTCCAACTAAGAAGAATCTACTTGTATTTCGTTCGTTTTGCACACTAAGATATGTTCATACGAGCGACTTGTGTGAATTGCTTTCTGAGTTGGACTTACATAATATCTCTGCTCTGCACTTATTCCTCGATAAAAGCGTTGTTAAATATTTTTCCCAATTTGGAGGCATGCTAAACTTGGGAAGTCTGACTTCACAGAAGCTGAGTGGAACAAAGAACTTCTACAACTATTATAACATAAAAATCCAATTTACAGTTTGGCATGCTGAAGTAAATTATAATGAGTTTTATTACAAACTTCTGAAACATTAACTCTGCTTTTAATTTCATAAAAAAAAGAATAGCAAGCGCAAGTTTTCCAATCGTTCTTTTTTATTGCACGAAAGATTTTAATTTAATTTTTGTTGTTGTTTATTCACTTTCTTTTCATATTTAATTTTATCCTGTTTTTTTGTTTAAATTTATTTTAGGAACGGCTGTTGTAACTTTCAACGAATCAGCACTTTGGACTGATGGCCGTTACTTCTTAGAGGCCGAAAGTGTCCTTGATTGCCACTGGAGACTGCAGCGCGAGTGTAACTATCTATCTATCTATCTATCTATCTATCTATCTATCTATCTATCTATCTATATAGGATTAATACAAATAACACTTGTCATTGGGATTATATTCAGCACCTCCACTCTGGAGTTTTTTTTTTTTTTGTAATTGTTCTGTTTACTTGACAAATTCTACTGACGAATGAAGTGAACGACTACAAAAAAGGTTCGTCTACGAAACTCTGGAGTCAAGTTGTTTAATATAACATCAATCAGGCTAAGTGACAAATTTTATTTGTATTAATCCTATTAATGTTCTATCTCTGATATCGAGCACTTTCAAGCAAAGACTGCTTGCCTGAAATGTGTTTTCTTTCAGGTTTCCACTGACTGACATCATTTCTAGTTTTACAATATATTACAAAATACATTATCGCTATTATTTATGTTCATACCCGTCTGTCGCACTCTATTCATATCTATCTATTTCAGTTAATATCTATCGAATAACGCAAATTTTTACATAAGATTGTATTTCTTGCCCAATCATATTTTATTGACTCTTGACTATTGGAATAACAATGTTTTTTTTTCGAAGCTACTGCCTAGACAGGAGATTTCTAGAAGAATGGTTTTCCCAAGTGTTCACTAAACTCTCTTCTCCCTTAATCATCGTGAAATTTCAATGACAAAATATTTTGTAAAGACACCTGCTGATAAAGGAGGATTCATGTTGAAGTCGAAGTATGCCATTTTTTTTCTTTTGAGCAGTTCACCCCAAGCAAGGCGGGAGTATCACTAGCACGCAAAGAGTTACAGAGGCTAGTATTTGGAGAGAGGATAAAGAGAAGGATGGGGAACAAGATCATGGTATCAGAAAATGTCGATTGACATTACACTTGAATATTTGAAGATTATAGTTATCAGGGAAGCAAGTAAGAGGAAGAGAATTCCACAGACAGGAAGTGCGAGAGAAGAAGCTGTTTGAGTAGAAGAGACGGTTACATTTAACCGTTTCGACAGTGAAAGGGTGGGACCGAAATGCCAACCTAGTAGCGAGGCTAATAGCATGAAGATAAAGGAAGCAGTCTCAGCTGGGATCCGAACACCGTTCAGCGATTTCATTTTTCACGTTGGTAACAGTTACGCCACACCAGCTATCAAGTAACTTACTATCAACAGCTTTCAAGACTCGAATATTAACTTAACCATTGTTCTACTGGATATTATATATATGTAAAGAAAGAGGATGGATATTTTTTATTTATTAATCCGACAGATTTTTATTACTTTAAACGTTATTTTTAGTGGATACTCGTATTTGAATAGACGCTCTATTTATTTATTAAACGGTATATTTATTTATTTTCGTCTACCCGCCTGAATATTCGAGAAATCCTATTAGTGCAAACTCCACAGAGCGCATATATTTCTCTAATAAGATTTCTCAAATATTCAGGCCGATACAAGAAATTAAATAAATATTTTGTTTAATATATGAATGGAGCATCTACTCAAATACGAGTATCTACTAAAAATAACGTTTAATAATGTTATTTTTCTGTAGGTTTTATCAATGCAAATACATTTACTAGTAAATGTATTTGCATTGATAAGTCCAGGGAAATATATATATATATATATATATATATGTGTGTGTGTGTGTGTGTGTGTGTGTGTTCTTGGAAAAGGGTAAAAACAATAGCAACACACACAACAAAAGAAGACACGGGTGGAGAATTATAAAAGTTTATTTTAAAAAAAAACTGTTACGAGTTATCCTGGTTAGTGCAATGTGAAAATAAGAAATTTTAGGACAACAAAAGATCGATGAAGTAAGGAAAAGATGATTAAATTCATGCACATTACAAACAAAATAATTGTTTCCATTTCAAACAAAGCAACATCAATCAAATTAACATTCATAAGCAAAACACACACTTTCAGAGAAGAACAATATTATAACGTGGTTGTCAAAACAAACGCTTAAGTTCCTGAACACATGTCAATAAATGCATTCGTTTCGATAATGTTAATTTACATAAAAATGTGTAAATACTCGAAAAGTTCCAAAGATAGAAAATGGGATATTAATAAAAACAATATCTCACTTCGAAAGGGGCCATCCCGTATACATACATACGTATTCATATATATGTACGTACGTGTACACACACACACACACAACATGTGGTTAGCTACTCGTTTCCGAGAGCATCTATTTACTAAGGTGGTTAACTGTTCAAATACATTTGTGGTTCTTTAATACAGACCCAAGCTATGATTTCTTTGAGTGCTGAGCAGACCTTAGTTACACTCTCTTAAGTGGGAGAGGGTGCATAATCTGACAGGATTAAAAATTGACCAAAGCCAATATGCTCAGATCCTTACTCATGATGACTTGTGGCATCATGCTCGCACAACCAGCAAGAACTTACTGTTTGGTACACCAAATTTCACTTACTAGGCTTGGGTCAACCCAAAGTTTGGATTCTCAGACACTTCCCAACACTGCTGCATGCAGGCTAATATTATCAAGAAGTCACATACTTGATAAATTGACCATGGTAAGTCTCATGGTTGGAACACTTACAATTTAACCACCTGGCTATACACCCATTTCACACACACACACACACACACACACACACACACACACACACACACATATATATATATATATATATATATATATATATATATAGAATAGAATAGGTGAGAGATATTTGTTAGGCTTTTTGGTGAATTTAATGGGTGACTTACTAAACCCTGTTGCAGACACCTGCTCAGGGGAACATTTGTGCTTCTTCAACACACACATACAAGCTATGGTTTATACTGCAACTATGCTGAGCAGACCTTAGTTACACTCTCTTAAGTGGGAGAGGGTGCATAATCTGACAGGATTGACCAAAGCCAATACGCTCAGACCCTCACTCATGATGACTTGTGACATCATGCTAGCACAACCAGCGAGGGCTTAAAAACTGTTTTGTCCACCCAATTTCACTTACTAGGCTTGGGTCAACCTGCAGTCTATCCCCCCCCCTCTCTCTCTCTCTCTATATATATATATATATATATATATATATATATATAACGGGTAAAATATCTGTGGGTAAGTAATGCAAGTAGATCCTATTAATATAAAATATTGAAACTGTTCCACCAAAAAGAGCTTAATATAATTTTTATTGTAAATCATATAAGTGAATTACAATTAATGTAATCCAAACGATTTACCTCATTCAGATGATCATTTCGTTCATGAGAAAGTAGTTTTTTTCCTGTACTTATCAATGCAAATACATTTACTAGTAAATGTATTTGCATTGATAAGTCCAGGAATATATATATATATATATATATATGTGTGTGTGTGTGTGTGTGTGTGTGTGTGTGTGTGTGTTGTCTTGGAAAAGGGGTAAAAACAATAGCAACACACACAACAAAGAAGACACGGGTGGAGAATTATAAAAAGTTTATTTTAAAAAAAAAACTGTTACGAGTTATCCTGGTTAGTGCAATGTGAAAATAAGAAATTTTAGGACAACAAAAAGATCGATGAAGTAAGGAAAAGATGATTAAATTCATGCACATTACAAACAAAATAATTGTTTCCATTTCAAACAAAGCAACATCAATCAAATTAACATTCATAAGCAAAACACACACTTTCAGAGAAGAACAATATTATAACGTGGTTGTCAAAACAAACGCTTAAGTTCCCGAACACATGTCAATAAATGCATTCGTTTTGATAATGTTAATTTACATAAAAATGTGTAAATACTCGAAAAGTTCCAAAGATAGAAAATGGGATATTAATAAAAACAATATCTCACTTCGAAAGGGGCCATCCCGTATCGCTGTTGTATCTGAATGAAAGGTTTCTTAGGCTTTGGGGTGTGGTAGCTGGATGCGGTCGTGTTGTCTCTGGAATCACTGGTAATAACTTGGGTTTGAATCCGGAGTTTTGTTCACTCTTCCCACAGGGACCAGGAGTTTAGGACGGGAGCGAAAATATGACATGAAGGCAGTAATATTTGAACTTAAATAGGCCTCGTAGGGTGTCCTCATGACGACAGATTTAAAGAGTTTGATTGGCTGATGGCTATTTTACCCATAACCTGGGTATTTCTAGAAGGGCTAGATGTTGATTTGCGGAGAGAGTCGTGATGTTATTATGCCGTAGTCACGTAGGTATGCCGCCGAAAATTTTGAAGGATTAATGCGACTGCTTCTTGCTAGACCGAGAAAATCGTCACGTCGGCAAAATTCCTGTAATAAAAGCTATGAGTCACATTTTTGAATCCGGAAATTCCACTCACTAAAACATTTTTTTTATATCTGTGTGCAAACAAGTTCTCATAAGAATGAAAGTTATCATTGTTGCTCTGATTTAATTAATAGATAGTTAATAGTAAAATTTGAAATGAACATGCTATGTTTTTTATCGACCATCGTTTCGATGAAGTCAGTATAGATTACACTACGTGAATATTTTCGAAGTTGGTTTCAGTTGTTTATCTCCTAGACTGGCTTTCAACCAAAGCTCAATTGTCTAATCATACTTATTATAAAACCCAGGTTGTGTGTGTGTGTGTGTGTGTGTGTGTGTGTACGTTTATATATTGGATCGGATTTCCTATATTTTTCAACCGATTTCAACAAAACTTCACAGGACTACGTAAAATTACCTTGCGGTGGTTCTGACAGCGCCAAAAATGGGAAAAACACAATTGTTTTCGCACAAAATCAATTTGAAAACACGATTAAGGCATCGCGAGAATGAAAGGAGGACAACTCATATCATTATTATAAAACCCAGGTTGTGTGTGTGTGTGTGTGTGTGTGTGTGTGTGTGTGTTCGTTTATATATGGAATCGGATTTCCTACATTTTTCAACCGATTTCAACAAAACTTCACTTTTTTGGCAGGTAGTGTTTCTTATTGTCTTGCACTTTTTTTTCTTTATTTTACATTCAGAATGCTTTAAAAAATTCCATTTACAAGACAATTGTTTATAATAAAATTCTATTCAATCGGTAGACTCATAACCATTGAAAACAAGTTTTTTGTTTGGGTTTGACCAATTCGTAAAAAAAAAAAATCTAATTAAGACATGCGTGTCCGTCAACCTTAAACAATAATCTTTGTCAATGTTATTTTTCAGTCTTTATGATGGTCGATACTTGATCTATCTCTTACTGTTACATCCCCGGGCAACGCCGGGCTCTACTGCTAGTCTGCCTATAAAATGTATTGTAGTTAAATGATGCATTACTAGTGTTCAACATTTCATTAACATTGTTTTTATACTTGGGTAATAAAAATATTTTCCAAAATTTACGTTATATATTTTTAATTAGAAGGAAGATGAAGTACTGCTTAGTTATTGCTCGTCCGTTTCCACTGAGTGCAAGTACACACTGCCTAACGCAGGTATTGAACTCACAATCACTATGTTACTAAATTCACAAACCAACGCTTTAATCCACTAGGCCATTGTCATAAATAAATATAATAAAATAAAATAAAAATAAGAACTAGACGAGGTGTCCCTAGACACGAGCAGTGGAACAAGAACAATGTAGATTAAATAAAGAGTTCAGTTCAGAATTTTCTGATCTGAGTGATCGATATATACGTGGGGAAGGCTGGAGAGCAGAACGGTCGAGATGTTGTAATAACAACGACGAAGATGAGGACAATAATCCGAATATAAATAAAGAGTTAATGCTTGCATATTTGGGTTTGAGAAGATATACAACTGCAAACAAAGAAACGGCCAGGAAAAAAAAGGTAGACGAGGAGATCATTCCCAGACGTATCTACGAAAAGATGAAAATGCTTGAAGCAAAAGATAAACGTAGTCCTTTACAGCGGATAAGTATCAACATCACGCACAAAAGAATTAATTACAACTAATCTATCATAAAATAAGATTATAATCCTTTTTTCTATTATTATTCTTAAGAATATTTTAACGTTGCTACTGAAAAAACCCGATTCAGAAAGTATCGTTCTTATCATCAGTCTCATGACCAGTTTCCGTCACATATCTCGTTTGCGTGCCAATCTCTGAGTCTTTGTGAATTATCTTCCCGTTTCCTCACTCACGTTGTTAGTCCATTATTTTTTCTCTGTTTGTTTCTTTTCTTGCCGAAGGCGATATCTTGTAGGATGGTAATGGAAAGATCGTTGGCTTTTATGACGTCGCATTTCAAATCTCTTCTTGGCGGTTATTATGAGGGCTTCCAACGAGCCTGTTTCTTGCGTGGTGATTTCTCACATTGTGTTATTTGTGATACGGTCGACGTCAGAGATACCAGGATGGTTTTTGTGGTGATAGCACTTGGGATGTACAAGGTCGGGAATCTTGTCTGGGTCAAAGTCCTGAAAAGTAGATGCACTACAAGAATCAAAGTGGGCCGCATGACTGGAGTCAACAGTCAGTGGGAGTTGATGGAGTTGCACGTCATGTAAAAGACGTGCATCTCTCCTCGGAGTTATACTCATCAGGAAATGAGAGTAGCTCTGAGGAAAGTGCGTGGTTGATCCAGGTAGAAAACTACCCCGCCAGAATCCGTTGAAGATTCATATCCAGACGAATTACCTGCAGATGCATCTTTACCAAGTAGTTTTCATGTCACCAGCTGTTGGGTTGGGTGGGGGGTGATGATATGAGAGCGCCTCACTAACGCCTAAACAACCAAGCCTGAGTTATCCCACTCAGAATGAGTATGCGTCAGAAGCAACCTTTATCCGGCCGCACTTTTTGTGATCACAAGATCAGTGTGTATTGTGCGTGTGTGTGTGTGCTAAAGGGGGGGGTAAATATGACCAAGGAATTCTAACCTACCTGTAGCTAAGAGGTTAAGATGTATTGCCTGCCCGGTCGAAGCCGCCATTTGCAATTTAGGTAAAGTGCATGCGTTGTTCTAGTGCTTTTAAAACTATCGCTAATTTGCATGCGTAGTCAAAAACCTCAATAAAAGGTGAGCCGTGCAGACGAGGAGAGAGAAGGATCGAAAGAACTTGACCTGTGCTGGGCCGGTGCAGCTATCAACTACACTATTTTCTAATGTTTTGACTCTTAAAGTTAGCAATGTTTTAAAACTAAAAACAAAATGAAAACTTAAGAACTTTGTGATGTTATTGTTTTTTGTAAGAAAATATATTCAGTACTTTGTATTGAAAATAATTCTTATAATAATATTCTTTCTATTTAGACACTCCAGGAGTGCCAACGATTGCTCAATGGTTGGGAAGTGTCCTACCATCAGGAACTCGTGTTGGAGCCAGTCCGTTGCTACTCACTTCAGGTTAGTAACAATCTGAATATTTTCTTTCAAGGGAAGTAAATCTGTTTTTACAGATTTTAACTTCATAGAACTTAACTGTTGACAAGTATATAAACTCACAAATTTGTTTAAATTTATCAGACATCGTTAAAGAAACGACTTTTCAAGTGAAATATCGTTTAAATCAGAGGTTCACAAAGTAATCCATATCGATTTTTAGTGGTTTAATAGGAATATCCAGGGATCGATAAATGCCTGGGTTTTCAAAAAGAATCGATACATAAATAAATCGTGGTGATTTACAACAAAAAACTCACCAATTTAAAACCAAACATGGAAGCTTTTGCCATTGCTCATCAAGCTCTCCTAAAACTGAAAATATATTTCATTATATTTGTGTGCGTAATCGAGTGGTTACAATGATAATGATGTCAACCAATTCAATAAAAAGATATATTAATTTATTTTAATGTTTCTATTATTACCTATATTATTTATGAGTTGTTGTTGCTGTTGTTGTTGAATAACAACAACAACAGCAACAACAACTCAAAAGCATTCTGGTATCGCAAGAGAAATACAAATTCAGAAAATAATAAATCATGTAAAGTTAAATGAATCTTACTGAGAACCAACCCCAAAAGAAATGGGCAAAGAAATTCCTGCCGTTTTTAAATAGAAAAAATATTATTGATATTTTTGCTGTACATGCTTGGGGTCGATGTTCTACAAAATTTGGGGATTTCTAGTCTAAATTTACAACTTTTACAAATAAGTTAACACATAATTATTTGTTATTAATAAACGAATCGCCTACTTGTTACCCAGTAAAAGAAATAATAAATTAACAGTACTTTTTTGTAGAAACACCAACTGAATTTGAAGCATTTATTTTATCATTAATATTTTGTTGTTGTTAGCTGATATGAAAACTTCCAACAAATAAATACAAATTAAAAAGAACGTAAAATTTTATCATACTGTTTTCATTTTCTTTAACAAATCCTTCGTTTAAAAACAATGGTTGATTTAGAGTTCTCTTTAGCTTACTATGATGGCACGTACCCTAAATTCTTCATCAAAATTCGGTATGTGCTATTAAAACACTTCACATACCTTGATGTATAAATCAATTACAACAAGTGTACTATAGGAGATAAGAAAATTGAATATAGAAAAGACTGTGCTAGGGATAGTCTCGCCGAACACTGCAAGCTGCTACAAAACCAAGACATTAACTTAAAAACTCAAGTCATGTTCTTAAATAGTCTCGTCAGATCAAATAGAAATCTGAAGAAAATATTTGCTGATTTGAATATTTCTAAATAAAAGTCTGAAAAAATCCTTTGCTACTTATCACATCAACCATTGCTAATGGTCAACCCTAGCTGAGAACTGTGACCCCCCTGGCGTCTCACCACCAATCATGCTGTCTCCTTCTTTGAAAATACCGGCTGGGCCGCTCTCAGGGACAAGAGACAGAACAGGAAGTAATGGAATGCTATGCCATCGAGTTCAGGCGGATCTTTCAGTTGCAACTACTGCAACCGTGTATGCTTGTCCCGCATTGGACTTATTAGGCACAAACCTACCTGCAAGCGATGTGTACAGACTGCTCTTGATCTTCGTTTTGCGAAGCCAAGCCATGAAATAAAAAAGTAGAAATCTGAATAAAAGGTAGCTGATTTTAATATTTCTAAATAAAAAAGTAAAGAACTGATGACTTTTTCTCTGATTTTCATATGGTTGTCATGCTTGGCACTAAACTCGTTCAGAAATATCGAAACTGTCAATCGAATACGACTTTCTCAGATCAATCGTTAAAATTGTTTTAAAAGAAAGATTTTATAAATATCAACCAACAGCAGCATTGGCTGCTTGTTCAATGAATGCCGAATGTTTCGTTATAAGGAAATGGCTAATATTACCATTACCAAAATAACACCGGTAAATAAAAACATTTTACCTTACTTACATTGGCGAGACCAATGTCTTTGTCGTGGCAATTGTTTCCTGTTCCAAGATATTTGCGAAGCCAGAAGGTGAAAACATCAAACTCCATGGAAGAGCAGATTATAATAAAAATTATAAAAAATATATTTAAAGACTCACGCGTGAAACTGCATAGAAAAATGAAGACGAAAAACATAGTTAAGTGGCCGCTTTGTTATGACGAGTTTCAACGTTGATTTTCTTTCTTTCTTTCATTTCTCCTTTCCTTGCTTTTCCTTCCTTTCTCCTTCTTCAATTTCTATTTTTCGTTCTTTTATCTTTCTTTTTCGTTTTTTCTCTTTTTTCTTTTTCGTTTTTTCTCTTTTTGTTCTTTTTCCTTGATTCTTTTTCTATTTTGATTTTCTCTCTTTTAAATAATTTCATTTTATCACTTTTGTTTTCTCTCTTTTTCGTTTTCTTTTTTGTCTTTTTTTTGTTTTCTTTCGTTATCTCTCCCTTTCATTATCTCTTTTTTTCGTTAACTCTTTTTATCTATCTTTTTGCGTTTTCTATCTTTTTTTGTTTTGTTTTTTTTGTTTCCTCTTTTTCGTTTCGCTCTTTTCTGTTTTCGCTGTTTTTTTGTTTTGTTACTTTTTTTTCGTTTACTTTCGATTTCACTGTTTTTTCTTTTTCTCTCTTATTTCGTTTTCTCTCTTGTACGTTTTCCTTTGTTTTCTCTCTTTAACTTTTTACTTTGTTTTCTCTTTTTTTTTCATTTTCCATCATTTTTCTCTCTTTTTTGTTTTCCCTTTTTTCGTATTCTGACTTTTTTCTATTCTCTCTTTTTTTCGTTTTCGCTCTTTTTTCGTTTTTACCACTTTTTCGTCTTTTTCGCATTCTCTTTTTTCGTTTCCTGTCTTTTTCGTTTTCACTTTATTTTCACTCTTTTTTCATTTTCTTTCGTTTTTTATTTCGTTTTTCCGTTTTTTTCGTTTTCTTCCTTTTCTCGTTTTCTCTTTTTTTTTTTTTCGCCATCTCTCCGTTTTTCCTTTTCTTTTTTTCACTTTTTTCATTTTTGTAGTTTTTTCGGTTTGTTTTTTTTTTCGTTTTCTCTCCTCTTTTCGTTTTTTCTCTTTTTCAATTTTCTCTCTTTTTTCCGTTTTCTTTCGTTTTCTCTCATTTTTTTCGTTTGCTTTCGTTGTTCTTTTTTTTGTATGTGTGTTTATCGTTTTTGCTCGTTGTCTCTTTTTTGTTTCCTTTCCTTTTCTTTCGCGTTCTCTCTTTATTTGGTTTTCTTTCATTTTTTGTTTTCACCCTCTTTTTCCGTTTCGTTCGTTTTCTCTCTTTCCCCTTTCCCTCTTTTTTCGTTTTCTTTCGTTTTTTCTTGTTTTCTTTCGTTTTCTCTCTTTTTCGTTTTTACCTCTGTTTCGACTTTTTCGTTTTCTCTCTTTTTTTCGTTTTCGCTGTTTTTTCGCTTTCTCTCTTTTTTTCGTTTGCCTTCATTTTCACTCTTTTTTTTTCATTTTCTTTCGTTTTTTGTTTCGCTTTTCCGTTTTTTTCGTTTTCGTAGTTTTTTCGTTTTTTTCGTTTTCTCTCTTTTTTTTTCCGTTTACTTCCGTTTTCTCTCATTTTTTCGTTTTCTTTCTTTTTTTTCTCTTTTCTGCTTTCTTTCGTTTTTTTCTCTCTTTTTCGTTTTCTCACTTATTCGTTTTCTTTCGTTTTCTCTCTTTTTTCGTTTTCTCGCTTTTCTTTTTCGTTTTCTTTCGTTTTCTCTCTTTTTTCGTTTTCCCCCTATGTTTCCGTTTTCCTTCCTTTTCTCTCTTTTCTTTACCCCCTTTTTTCGTTTTCATTCGTTTTTTCTTATTTTCTTTCATTTTCTCTCTTTTTCGTTTTCTCTTTTTCACTTTCTTTTATTTTCATTCGTTTTCTCGCTTTTTTTATTTTCTTTCGTGTTCTATTTTCATTTTCTCTCTTTTTTGTCTTCTTTCGTTTTTTATCTTTTTTCGTTTGCTTACGTTTTCTTTCTTTTTTCCGTCTTTTTTCGTTTTCTCTTTTTCGTTGACACTCTTTTTTTGTTTTCTCTTGTTTGGTTTTCTTTCATTTTTTTCTCCTTTTTTCTTTTTTGTTTTCTTTCGTTTTTTTCTCTTTTTCGTTTTCTCTATTTTTGTTTTCTTTACTTTTCATTCTTTTTTGCGTTTTCTTTCATTTTTCGTTTTCTCTCTCTGTTTCCTTTTTTCTCGTTTTCTTTCTTTCTTTCTTTTTCTCTTCGTCTTTCTCTTTTATAAATATAATAGTGGACAGAAATACCGATAAACTATATACCCGTTTAAACAAAAACCTTAATATAAGCTTTGATATTCGAACTTGCATGCTCATCTTGGTTGCTATACTCACTACGTTTTGGTCATTGTACCCGTCTGTCGTCGTAGTCCATAACATTTTCGAAATTTGACTCGAACCCTTTATTCAATCAACAGCAGTTTGATTGTTCTTATTATCATTTTCATGCTTCGGGGAGATAACTAGTATCACTTAATACTCACCAGTCTTAGTTACCTTTGTGTTAAATGTTCATTTTTTCTACTGAATCAATGTATGCGACGCCAGACTCAGGGATTGAACTCAAAACTACGAATAATAACAAAGAATAGCAAGTCATATGAGTATATTATAACTCTGACTGTTCTTTATTTAGCACGTACATAATGTGTTTCTTGTACCTAAAGAATCGTGGGTGATCCCGGTTTTAATCGCGAGTAAAAGATATGTCAAATGTGCTACTTGGTTTCAGTGTTCAGTGAGAAAATGAAAAAATGAAGGAAAGAAGTGTTTAATATGTGTTACAGTGAAATGGAAAATTTGCCAATTTCAAATTTCATTATTTGTACTCCCTTACTTCTTAAAATAACGACAAGCATTCATATTTATGATTATTAATGCAATATTTTGTTAAGTTGTTAAGTTCAAAAATTTAACAATGCAAAAGAGGAAATTCCACGGTATTTTATAGTCTTGGAACTCGCAAGGAGTTTATTTAAAGATTAAATTAAGAATAAAAAAATATATTATGAAAACCGTGACAGTTTCGTGGGTATTTCAAGTAATGATAATTCCACATTTTAAAAACTCAAAAATTAAAACGAATTTTTATCCAACTTTTAGCAAAAAAAATCACTAAATTTTATTAGGACGAAATATTTTTTCTCGTGACCTAAAACTGGGTTACGATCTACGGTTTGAGAAACGCTAATGAAATCTGATCGGCTGTAAATCTATTTCCTTATTCAGGTTACTATCCTGATCTTTGTTATTTTTTTTATCAAAACGTTTTGGCTAATGAGCTCTTAAATTCCTCGGCATCTGGTGAATCGTGTTTCGTATTTATTTCAAATATCACATGCATTTTAATCTTCAAATGGATGTTTCTTGTTTATTTTAAAAGGTTACTGGCTGGAATTGTCCGAGCAACTGGCTGAATATAACATCACCTTGGTGCATGTGTTGCGTGATCTCGTCGATATGATTTGGTCAACGACACGACCCAAGAGGCCGAACACTATAATTAACGCCCTGCCTAGAGAATTTGCCGGTAAGGATTATTCTTTTTTGCAAAGTAAAAAAAAAACAAAACATTTTTTCCTTATATTAAGTGTCGTTAACTTGATTGCTATTAATAATAATAATAATAATTTTGCTTAATATGTACTTGCATCTTGTTTTTGTTTTATTAAAACGAAATTAAAGATGAAGATGAAAGTAAATACTAGTCAAAAATTAATAATGGGTAAGAATGCTTTATCTAATAAATAAATGAAAGATGAAAGTAAATAGTAATCAAAAAATAAAAATAATGTTTGCTAATGGTTCCTTAGTTAATAAATTGTGCTGCTGTAGCTGCTTTTACAATATAGCGTCGAGAAAGGGTTGAGGAATAGATTGATTTAAAAAGGTTAGATTTGATCTTCTGTTAAGTTTTCGCAGCTCAGTCAATCAGGCTTTTCTGGGGTAATAATGAACTCGCGTATATTTTTATCCCAGAAAAGCCAGATTGAACGTAGAGAGATAATTCTTCTTCGATCTGGGCTGTCTAAACACTACCGTAGATCGACGTCCTGCGTAATGTTGTGATAAAGAAAACATTCTTTTTTTTTTTAAATCTTCAATTCGCTTAACTTTTTATGACAAACGGAACTGCTTTTTAGTTGTCTTTTCTAATTACATCAACCGGTTATATCTCTCCACAACTTCATCTTGCTATGGCTTCTTGCGAAAGATAGTGTAGTGGTTTCCCTTTGCTTTTTCTGTAGTTTTCAGTTCAGACATGTTTTCTAGACTGGCTACCACCAAAGGTTAGAGGGCCGCTAGTGATCAATCTGTAATTAGGAGGAGAAAAGACATATATTTATGCTTTTTGTCTTCTTCTAGATTATTAATGCGAAAGTGAATGCTGCATATTAGGTCAGAATTAGAACTCAGTTAGCATATTCCATTTTCCGCGCCGGTAACCGTTACGCAATCTACATGCTCCCCCCTTTATGGATTTCGGACCCCCTGAAAATTTTCTTGATTTGCAATGCATCACATACAGATTGAGTTCCGAGATTTGCTGAAACAAAATCAACATAATTCAGTGTTTCATCATCATCATCATCATCATCATCATCATCATCATCATCATCATCATCATCAGTTATAGGGTCACTGCGCGGCTGAGTACTTGACCAGTCCCTTCCACTAGGTTGAAAGCCAGAAAAGCAATCACTCATGCGTAGCGTGTCATGGGCAAGTATACCTGGTGGAGACCATCTCTCTCCAGGTCAAAGCACAACTGATGTCCTCCGACTTGAAAAATTGTCAAAGTTTAAAGCAACAAGCACGTGGCCGTTGACTTCAATCTGTGAAGCCTTTCGCCCAACGATATCGTGTCATCACTGCACTGGGTACATGCACAGCTATGGAGGCCAGTCTACCCTATTGTGCTGTATGGTTGTTAACCCTAGAAGAAGGTTCATCAAGGCCTTTGACAGGTCTTGTCTTTAATCCTGCAGCCATCCTCCCCACCAGAAAAGCTTGGTGGGAGAACTAGCCGCCAGTAACCTGACTATGCGGGAGATTATAATCGGTCACATGATACCAAGAGCTCTCGTAGAGTGAGTTGACAATCAGAAATGTTTCCTTTGATAACATTGAAAATAATTAAAGCAAGAAATTACTTAAGTGGTGAAAGAAGTGAACAAGAAAGGCTGATATCTTGTTTATGTCTACACGATTTTTAAATGGCGTCGACGCTGATTCCACAATCGAGACTGTTGTTTAATTTTATCGTCTACAGCCGAAATTTAAATGTGACACTCAGAAACGTTCAGAAGGAAGGGCAAAATAACTTTTTTGTTGCCTGCAGGTCCAATCGTTTAAGTTGCCGGAAGGTAAAAATTATCATAAAATATATGTGAAGTGAACACTTTTATTATTGTTATTGCTAAAATATTTGAAAGATAAATAATAAATGAAGACATTCACTTAAAAAAAGTAGACAAAAGAAAATCACATTACAACTTGAAACGCTTTTCCTAAAAAATCGAAAATATGTACTTATCAAAAAAAGTTGTTGCTGCATTCAATAAATAAGAAAAGGATAAAAGAGTAAAATTATCGGTAAACCAAAATGTTATTAAAAATGTTTCAAATCAAAGACACTGGCTGGACCAATAGGCAAAAGATTTCAAACAAAACAAACATTATGACTCGAAACACATTTCCTAAAGTTTCGAAATTTACGTCCTCTTTTATAAAAAAATGTCACGCTTAAATATAAATAAATATAGAATAATTCATGTTGTTAATATAACAATTCCTGCTGATGACAGCCATTCTTAAATCTAGAATGTTAATAAAGTGTTCTAAACTTGCTAAAACACTTAAAGTAAAACAATCGATGCATACCTCGACTTATCTTAGAAGAAATAGAATACATTAATAATTAAACATTGAAAATGCATAATAATATAACCAAATTATAATAAACAAAAAAATGTAAGCATAAAATGATAATTAAAATAAAGACTTTCCTTTTAAAATACGACATCGCTTTCTTTGAACAATGAAAAATAAAAAAAAACACATCCGTTCACTCCAGAAGTAATTTTCAAAGAGAATTCTGTGCAATTTATTCTGAAAAAGAAACGTTCAGATTGAAATGTAACGCAATAATCAATGATTTTCTGGTTGTTTTTCTCTTTTCTTTTCAGGAAAAAGTTGGCAGGACAAAATCCGTGACGTCCGCAGTGAACTTATCCGTAATAATGCCGATGCGTTCATTGTGACCAGCCTGGATGAAATAGCATGTAAGTAGATATATACGAAGGTTTGCAATTAAAAGATCTCTTAACCGTATTGCGGCGTTAACAGTGGAACTATAGAATGTTTACAGATATATTCAGTAATATATAAAGTCATGTTCTTTATGTTTATGTATTTCATTTTAAAGTTCACCGAATACCAAGCTCAAGAGCCATTCAAGGTACAGCCAACAAAATGGTAATGTTGAGTGATTTGAATGGAACCGGAGGGTAATAAGTAAAAAATGATTATGAAGATAAGGGATGATGATTGATCCTTGACTTGAATGTTATTAATCAACACATTCTCGTGTGTGTGCATATATATATATATATATATATATATATATATATATATAGTGATTGCCCAAGCGTAGCTTAGATGTGGCACAAGACCGAAATTAGGGTGCACCCAGTGAGGATCGAACTCACTACTCAGTCGTAATTGTTCTAGCGAGACAAGCTTACTAACCATTACACCGCCACGAGGTGTATATGTATATGTATGTATATATATATATATATATATATATATATATATATATATATATATAAATTAATTGATTTAAAATATGTTTTTTTCGCTACACAGTTCTAACCATGTTTCAAAAATAAAGCTCATTAGTTCCAAAAAAATTTGATTTTGAAATTAAATTAAAGCATTATTTCCATTTCAAAATTAAATTCGGGGAAGATGAGCTTCTATTTTGGAAACATGGTTGGAACTTGTAAAAAAAAATATTTTAAATCAATTAATTTATAATATTAATGCTCTATAAATTTACATTGAGCACTATTTTGTAAAAAAAAAATATCTATAAGAACACCGGATTTTATATCTTACTGTTTTTTATTTATATATATATATATATATATATATATATATATATATATATATATATATATATATATTATATATTATATATATATATAATATATATATATATATAATGGGCTCTCCTGTCGACTTTAGTCCCAATAGTGACTGGCATACAAGTTCACATATTGGTAAAAAGCGAAATCTCAGGACATAGACACAGGGATATTTGGTGACGCTTTTCGCCGGCCGTTGTCTTTCGTCTCTTAGCCAGTCAATAAGACTGATTACGAAATTTCTGATACCACTCTGACACAAATATCTCAAATTATTTTTATTTTATACAGAAATTATATATATATATAATAAACATAGATTATTAAGGTATGCTATATTTCTGGGTGAAATTGCTCAATATCAAGGATAGAGCATGTGTAAATATAAAAGTGGACATTGAGGTCAGCACAGAGTGACGACAGTCTGTTTCATGCCATCTTCATGACAAGAAACATTGGTGTTGACCTTAGTGGCCACTTATATAAGAAATTAAAGGATTTTATTTGGAAACGTTATTTTAGTAGTTACACATGTTTAAGTAAATACGCTGTTTTTATCTCTTTTTTTAATATAACAGTAGGAATTACGTCTACCGGCCTGTGCATTCGAGAGTCGTAATAAAGAAAATGTGCTCTCCTGTGGCTGTGCACGTCGAATTAGACGGTGAATTTTCCCCTACAAAGAGAAATGTAGTTTCGAAACTTGCAGGAAAGCACATGTTCTTTATTAAATTTCTCGAATACGCTGGCTGGTAGACATAATTAAAAAAAGTGTATACATTAAGATAACGATTATACTAATAGGACTTATATGTCCTGAAAAGAGGCTCTTCAATAATCTTGTTTTTGGTCATTTGGGGAAGTGAATCGGGCCAAGACCTTTTGAGCACTTGGTGTATGTGTAGACACACATTTTCATCCCCGTATATATTTACGAAGTTATATTTTATATTGTAATTATTCTTTAAATATCTTCATAGATATTTTTTAATTTAAAGCTATTTTTCTGTTACATTTATATTGAGCTTGTAAGTGAATTTGTCCTTTTTTTTCCCCCAGGGCTTTATAACCTACGCGGCAATGATGTCCCATACAACCCCTTCTTTTTGTCTTATGCAATCGTTGAACGACAAAAAATAAGGTAAAATATAAAACCTTACTTAGTCGATACTTGAGTTTTATTCGATTCCCTGCCTTGAGTGAATATTCCTAGATGGATTTCTATTAACTGCTTGACATATGATATCATTTGCTTTTTTTTTTATTCATGTTCTCACTGTACAGTTGTTTTATTCTTTTTTTTTTTTAGGTTGTACTTGTATGAACACGAGAAGAAATTGACCAGTCGACCCACGGACAGGCAAACGAAAAAAAATTTGTACGAACATCTTAACACAGGAAGGGATGGCCAGTGTCACGGGAAATCCGAATGTGTCGAGGTGAGTCAATGTTTCTTTTCTATAAAAAAAAAATGTTTCAAAATTGTTTGAAAAATAATTTATTAAAGATTTACAATTAGATTTTACATTTGAATTATTGAATGTTTTTGTTTTATCACTGTTGTGTGTATTGAGTTGAGAAATTGTCGGAAATTCTTCTTAAGCATAAATGATAAACGCTTTATAAGACATTTAGTACAAAAACATAAAAGGTCATCAAATGAGAATTTAAAAAAAAACTTGATTGAGTCTATACTGTAACCGGATCCATGGGAATTCCTTGGATTCGATAGTGAACAGGCTTCGTGTTTAACTTTTCGGTTCTTGTATAAACCTGATCTATCTTTATTTATCTATGTATTGGGATAATTCTCCTATAAGACTAAATAACCCATCAAGCGTTGATATGTCTTTTAAATAAATATCGTTAAATAAGTTACAACTAAAATGTCCCTTAGTAATGAGATACTTTGTTTTTATAATAATAAGAGGCATTGCTCAGTTCTAATGAGCAAACATGCTTTGTGTTGAAGAATATCTTACAAGTTGGGGAAATAATATTGTTAACATAATGTTTTTTTTTATTTCTTTTCTCTATTATTTTATTTATTTTTTTGTCGGATAAGCTTTTTTGGATAATTATACTTTTAATTAATTTAAAATGTAGAATTCTTTTTACATACAATAGTTAATTGCATAGATGAAAATCTAAGGTCAATCAAGTAAATATTTCTAAGAAGTTTTTCGTGAGTCTCCCCAAAGCTCGCTAGCTGATTGGTCAATGACAACCAATCAGATTGCCTGCATGTGAAGAGTGATTCTTCCCGCGCAGCTATTTCGGGGCCGATGGTCACCTATATAAGCAAAGAATATTCTTAGTTAGATAGATTTCAGCTGCCACAGGAATCCACGATAGTTGAAACCATGCGCCAATCTTCTCACTCACACCACCACTCACATGCTGAATATTCCCTATACTCACATAATCATTTTTCTTACACTGTTGAAAACATTTATTACCAGAAACTATTTACAACCTTATTTCTTTCAGTGAACTTTAGAACAATTGATAGTTAAAGAGAGACAACTCTTGTTTTACTCAATGTATGCTTTTCAATCACATCCTTGTTTGTACATCGTGTTAAATACAAATTTTTATGAATAATGATGTCTTTGGCTTATCCTCTTTTTCTTCACGTCAGTTTGGTTTCCTAATCTAAGTTAAATAAATGTGGTGAAGTCCGCCACAACCTTATTTGTTTACGGTATTTTTCTGTAAAGTCGAATATTTGGTCGTAATTCTGGTGCGCCCAGATCAGTAACAGGCAACAACAGAGTATTCAATGAAGTTTTAAACAAACTGGATTAAATACTCAAGACTTTCTGAGGTGAACTTTAAAAAAATGTGGCTTTATCAGTACGATCCTGGAGACAAAGTTATATCAAATCGACTTGAATGTTCTTAACGTCTCCAAAGAAGTGTTATCACCAACATTGGAATTATTAGTATAATAAGTACAATCCTCATCGAATACCCTGCTATTCCGTCCTTCTATCAGACCAAATTAATTTTACTAAATTGTTTTCGGATCGTGGAAGTTGTTGCATATTCCCACCAGCGTCTGTAGATTTCAGAGGTTAAGTATCAAGTCATAAACACATTATTTGTTCGAATAATTGCCGTAACGCAATCTTTCTAACTGCATTCTTTTTCATTTGGCTTTTCAGATCACTACAAGCAATAATTTTTTTTTGCTTTAAGTTTTCTAATTGTTCATGATTTTTTCTTGGTTGTTTAATTAATATTATCCGTTCGTTAATGTGTGTATTTACAGGTGTACAGTTATGACGATTTACTAAAAGATGTAAAGGAAATATCCTACCGGTCTCAGAACAAAATCTGGATTAGTCACAGATGCAATTACGCTATTTATGCTCTCATTCCTCCGGTAAGTATGCCACAAGTGAGGGTAATGTAACAGTTATCGGTGCGTAGAGTGGAATCGGCGTGCCGAGTTTAAATACGAAGCGATTCTGCCACGTTCACTTTTGCATTAAGGTCCTTTGAAAAAAACTCGTGAGTCTATTTTTTCCTCTTAGCTCTGAGTTAAATAACAGGGTAGACTGAGATATCTAGCTTTGAGTAGTAAACAGACTAAAAGAAGTCAATTAGAAACCCTTCCATTCTCTTTACATGACAATCATGTCATGACAATTTTCAAGTAATGAAGAAAAGGGGGCATGGCATTTAAAAAAAAAATGTATGTTACAAGTAAAACTTGATTGATTAGTTTTTTAACGGTTTATCAACATTTGAAGGTTATTTAAAGCCAGAACGTTATTAGACTGTAATAAATTTTTGGAGATAATGATTTACTAGTACAGGCTCTACTAATTAACCCATACTTTTTTCAAGTGCATTTGCGCGAAAATGGATATAACAAACTTGCTTAAATCTCCAATTCTGAGCCGTTATCCATTACACCACCCTCACATCCAAGCTTACCGCTCCTGGTATTCCCAAACGGTAACCCATCTAGGTACTGATCAGGCTCGACGTTGCTTAACTTCGGTGATCGTACGAGGACCGGTTTCAACGTCATATGGCTGCAACCCTCAAGTAAAAAAGACGAAAATGGTCAAGTGATTGATGTAAATATAAATCTTCTTTTTTTTTATTAATTAAATTAGCGTAAAATAGCTTTGAACTCTCTTCTCGAAAGGTCGTTTGAATTTCACGATAAAAATAAAATTCGGCCTATGAATGAATGAATGAATGAATGAATGAACGAAGAAAACTATTGAACACTTCATGAAATTATACATAATCTCAGAATTTGACTTTACACCAAAACTGATTTGTAACGAATTACTGTTGTGTATTACAAATGTTTTGTTTAAGTAATATTATTTGTTCATTAATGCAAAGTTTCATCTCTCGTAACATAACATTATATTCAACTCTAAACTTCGTCAGCGGCTACAGTTATTTAGGAGGACGGAGAATAGAGTTACACACTATTAGGTTGTATTCTTGAAATTGATAGCACCTTCATGATTATCAAGCACATCTTGCAGATCGACTGACAATGAATTGATTTCATTTCTCAATAGTTGCTCTAATAGTTGTGCCTGACTAGGATACAAAATTTGACATTAATTAACCCAATAACTGCCTAAGCGTTTTAAATATATTTACTTTTATTTTCAGGCGAAATTATTGCAAACAATGTCACCAATTTCTGTCATGAAAGCCGTTAAAAATGACGTGGAGAGGAAAGGAATGGAAAATGCCAATGTATGTATCTGTAGTTTTTTTATTCTCATTTCGATTGCTTTTATTTTCTTTCACACAAAAACACACATTTTCATATGAAATAACGATATATAAATTTTTATACATGAAGAACACATATTGGGGGGAAAATATATGACAAAGTGGAAAAAAGTTTTCGTGTGACGCGTTTCGTCCTTTAGGACTTCATTGGACTAATATTGTTATGTTGGTGCGACTACACATGCGCACGGGCGAGGGGTACTGGGAATTTTAAATTTTAGATATATGTATATATAATCTAGCAAATAGACGCTGATGTCGGAGGGAACGGACGTATTTTTTTCATTGCTCAAAAAAAAAAAAAAAAAAAAGCGATGTCCTATTTTGAAAGTGAAGTCTTGGTTATTTTAATTATCCATTTATTCTTATATTTTCTTTGTTTCTTATATAATAATAATAATTATTATTATTATTATTATTCATTTATAATCTTATGAAAATATATATTTGTTTTCTTTGGTTTTAAAATTTTAAGTCGAGGATCGATTGTTTTATTTTTTTTTAAAAAGTGTTCCAGTAAGCTTATTAAGAATGCCTATTATCATTTATAAATTATATTAAGAACATTTTATTAAATTAAGAACATTTTATTAAATTACTTACACATCAGCATGAATAATTGTAGTCTATTTTTAATATTGAAGTGTAACATTTCTCTTTTGCATGAAAAATGACGTTATTTTCGAAAATGTCGGAAAAGCATTTCGAGTCGTAATATTTGCTTTGTTTTATCTTTGACTATTGGTTCAGTATCGTCGATTTCTTCCCCAAAAATCATTTATCATTCAAACATTTTTAACAACATTGCCGATAATTTTACTCTTTTATCCTTTTCTTTTTTATGTAACATTTTTATAGACGAGGACTTATTTGTAATTTATAGGAAAAGCGATTCGAGTCGTTATTTCGTTTTCTTGTTTGTTTTTCTTACTATTCGTTCCGAATAGTCAATTTCATCCTCTATTATTTATCTTTCAAATGGTTTTAACAACGAGAATAATAAAAAAAATGCTCTCATATAACTGATGATTTTATACTTTTTTAATTTTTTTCTTTTATTGATGTTTTGTTTCTATTATTTTAATTCAAGTAACATTTGATAACGAACTGTTTACTCCGACATCCAGTGTAAAATATATATGTGTCTATGCGTGTATGTTTTTATGTGCATACCTCTGATGGTCGCTCCTTGTATTAGTGCAGAGTCTTGCGTGTTTCACTGACTTTGAGAACGATGCCGTCGGGAGTTCTAAATTATTGGTAAGGCCACCTTTTGCATCAAGGTCGAAGACGAGGACCCAAGGACTAAGCGCGACCAACCCCAAAGACCCCAACTCTAGAAAAAGTAGATAACAATTAAAACAGATCTCAAGTGTTGAACTAGCGGATGAAGAGGGCTACGCATGGTGGACATGCTACAGAAGGCGCCACTCGAAATTATAACAGTCAGCGGCAGTCGATTGCAGTTTCATAACTGGATTTTACCTGTTTCATTCGTTGTGTGCCACAGAGGAAGGTCATGAAATCAAGTGTGTGGGTCACTCTCACCTCAAAAAAATTCACACCATCGGAACTTTCTTTTACTCTGATTTTCTCTCACCTCCAACCGTCTCTTGTAAAGCGAAACGACAATAGAAAATGCATAATGGGAGCAGGTTTTGGTGTAAATGGAAGCTTCTAATCCTGGACCTGCACGTTGGCGGTGAATATAGTCATCAATGTCACCATCATAAAGGAAATAAAGAAGAAATTAAATTCTTGGATACGAGATAAAACTGGCGACGATAATCGAGCCGATTTCATTTAGATTCTTTTTCTTTTCACCACTTTTGTCATTAGATATGCCGCAGTGTGATAATAGAAGATCTGCCAGCAATGGTGAAATGTTGTAAGAGCCAGGAACAAGATTTTTGTCTTAGTGAATTGTTTCTCCTTTGATCAGAGTAGTATTTTTTTATTTAAAATTGTGGTCAATCTCGTTACAGTGAGCAACTAATACATTCTGATAAACTGAAGCATTATGACCACCTGATTAATAAGCGAGAGTCATCTACCAGTTCGACCCAACATCTGCAGACAAGAGACGTCCTCGTGGCGTACCACGCAGCCGCTGGAATGACGTCGTCCGCCAGGACACCCAACAGATTAATCTGGCGCGGATGATGTTCCGATCCCCTACTAAAACTATGAGAGCTGGAGGGACCAGGTGGCTTTCGTGGGCTCGACGCATTCACGGCATGAGATTTATCATAAGGATTCTATCTCTGATGGTTTCCTCGCAACTCCCTCAGGCATCATTTATCTCTACCTGTCTGTCTGTCGCTCTCATATATACTGATGAACAAAAACATAGCCATCAAATAACGTGTTGTTTGTCTGTTCCGTGTGTCTGATCAGATATTGACTCTACACGACTTTTAATGTTTCTGATAGGATTGAGTATCTGGATATTAACTTTACATGGTGGAGGTCCTGCTGAGCAAACTTATTGGTTCAGTGACCCCGAAAAAGTACTCAATGGCATTTGGAACTTTAGTTAATATATCAAACCCTGTTGGATCGAAATCAGTCTTTTTTCTATTTAAGTATATATGCACTTCCTTGATTTGGAAATCGATAACATTGCTCGTTTATATCTGAGTTCATAAAGAATTTACTTGGTTCGAGGATAGGTTATTATTGGTTGTTTATAATTGAGTCTGTAAGCATTTACTTTATTTGGGAATTGGTAAATAGTTTACCCACTGGATGCTAACTATAACACAAATAACCCTTTCTACTCAGCACAAAAAAACATTTCCAAAGCTTTTTTTATTGCTAGTCCGTCCTATCTTAGTATACAATTCCTGTGTGGGATCTCCTTGCACTTAGTGTGATGCCCAACAGTTAGGAAAAGTCCAAAAATGTTTTACTCAAATGAAAAGATTTGGTCTTTTCTCTCTTGAAAGTGGTTAATTGGTTGATTTTGTTTAGCAGCATATCAACACCTCTATGTGTTATTTAATGCCAAAATCTAAATAATTTTAACACCATTTTATGGTTTCAACTAAATATATTTTCAACGCACTTGTATGCTTTCGAGGACACAAAATGTATTGATAGTTATGTATTGTGGATGTTTTTACATAAAAATGTATTGCTGGTATTTTTATTATTAAAATGCATTTTTATACTTTTATAAAGTTCTTGTTTGGGAGGGAGATCACTATTTATCCATAGCCATAACAGGTTCTATGACCCCGCCCTTGAAAACGAATGACTTAGATTTAATACAGATATTTAGAATAGCAAATTCAATCGATTACGTAAGTTTCGAGTAATATTCTACTAAAGGCTTAGTATAAATCCATTAGAAGATATCCATTAAAATTTCAACCGCTATGTTTGAACATATGAAAATATTCTTCACATCGGATAAGGAATGAGTCGAATATTCTTCTCCTTTTGGCAGTCAATTCTAAGACTTTAGACGTCTTCAAAAATACATTTTTATTATATTGGCAGATGGTAATTGTATTTGGGTACAATATGACTCTTCCACTACTTTACGTGAATGCATTTCTAATTCAATGACAATGATTCCTTTTTTCTTTTTTTTTTTTTTTTTGAGTTTTGCTAATGAACTGTTTTATCTTTTAAATCCATTTGTTTGCCCTTGTTTGACTGAATGACTGCTGAGTTAATAATAATATGAAATATATTTCAGTCTTTAAGCATTTACTTGGGGACTGATTTTTTTACTGGGTGATGTTACCCGTGTAAATTGATTTATTTTATTTTTTTTTTATATAGATTCGTGATTCCGTTGCCCTCATCGACTTCATTCAAAAGCTTGAAAAAGAAGTGAGTTATTATTTCCAATTTTCAAATCATATCCAAACTTCTTCTGTTTCACTTAATTTCCGAATTTGTTCCTCTCTCCACTTGAAGTAATTACCGAAGCTTTCGTCTTTTCACTCCAACTCATTTCCGAAATTGTTCCTCTCTCCTCTGGAAATCATTTCCGAAATTCTTCCTCTCTCCTCTGGAAATCATTTCCGTGGCTGTTTTTTTCTCTCACCTCTGGAAATCATTTCCGTAGCTGTTTCTCTCAGCTAGAAATTCCCCTGAGGTAATTTCCGATGCTGTTCTTCTCTTCGCTTGAATGCTTGCGGCTGCATCCCATTGAAACACTGCTTCCCGTACGATCATCAAAGTTAAGTAACGTTGTGCCTGGTCTGTATTTAGATGGGTGACCGTTTGTTAATACCAGGTGCTGTAAGCTTAGATGCACGGGTGGTGTAGTGGATAACGGCTCGGAATTTTTAATCGAGGATCCGCTTTCCAATTACCGTTGGATTCATTATATCCGTTTACGCACAAATACCCTTGGGGAAGGCATGAATCTACCTTTCTCCCTCCTCCCCAGCTATTGTCAATTAGTAAGACTTGTATTACTAGACCATGATTATCTTTTAAAAAGTTTTTTATAATCTAGAAATATTTTCTGACTTTAAATAACCTGCAAAGGGTTGATAAACCGTAGAAAATGAATGAGTAGATCAATCTCTGATCGAACTCCTTTCCGAAACTCTTCCTTCCTCCACTTGAATTATCATCAATATTGATCATCCTCATTGCTTTCCCACTTTGGATCAATTATTGGCAAAATGTTCCTATGCACGGTTGATTAAACCAGAGGAAGCTCCTGATTTAGTCAGTTAAAACCTTCTCCTGGGGGTATTGTCTTAATCGAAACTGCCTTTATACAACTTCAAAACCTCTCTGAAATAGTGTGATTAATCCTGAACTTAAAATTTATAATAGAATGAAACATAAAATTTCAGTATTTTTTTTTTTTAATTCGGTGCATATTTTGAAGTTTGGAATAAAATTTCAGCAGATTCGATATCACTTGGGAAATCTATAGAATAGTGCCCAAATCATACATAAATTTCATAAAACTCAAAGGAATGCGGTTTGATTTAATTGTTTGAAATATTTCATTAAATATTTCTTACAAAATCTCGTTTTGTAAATAAATTAATTTATAAATTAATAAGTACTTTAATTGAAATCGGGTAATCAGAATGCCGAGAGAAAATCGGTCCTCGTCTCAATATTGCCTCTGTTGCAGCCTTGCTGTGAGGCTTGATTCTTTCTGCCGCTGCTTCTCCTTTTAATGTAGTTACCGAAGCCTGTCAAGCTTGGATCTATCTACCGTTGTTTCCTTTTTCTTTTTTTATTAATGGCACCCATGTGGTATTTATAACTATGCTAGGCCTACTGACTATTCTTTCATAGCCTGACATATGCGCTGATTTTTTTTTTAGATGTTGATTCTCTAATGTTCAAAGAATATTTACTATTTTTACTTCTCTCTCCATGCATAATCAGTCATGTATGATTTTGTTATCTCACTCCTAATTACAGCTTTTCAATGTTCGTTTTTTTTTTAACCAATTCACTCCAGGCAATGCGAAAATACAACTAAGGTGCAAGGGGTTACTCGGAGTGGAAGAGAATGAGAAGACTTTAGAATGAACCGGAACCAAATTCTTTTTAGTTCGACTGTAAATAATACAAAGAAAATGTAAAGATAACTCTTCATTCCAGAAATTCAGAAACAAATTCTTCTCGTTTCAGAAACACTGGCCGAGAAATTAAAATAATGTATGACCTTATTTTTCAACGATAAATCTTGTGCGCAAATTTGTAATCATTTTAAGTCGGAGTTAAATTTCTTTTATTCTTTTTTTAACAGGTTAAAGACGGCAGAAGATGGACCGAAATGTCTGCTGCAGCAGAATTGGAAAAAGTTAGACGGTAATCATTTGAGCTGACACCCAGTTGCAAATATTTTCAGTTCATTTATATGCTCGATTATTGCCTACATATGACGGACACTACAAATCTATATAAGCTTACACACACACACACACCAGATCACCCATTTAATCGCGGCACATTGAGACCACCAAGAAGAATTTTTTAAAACTGATTTACATGAAAGGACAAAATATTCTTTTATGTGCTGTGTCCTTTGAGAAAGTGGATGGTCATGACTCTTCACAGCTTCCTGTTCCATGTGAGCTCTAAACAACTTTTGGCTCTAAAGCGCCAAAAGTTGTTTAGAGCTATTCCTATTTTATTATGCACACATTTAATGTTCATCGGCCTAAATTATCGACAGACTTATTAAAGAAAAAGTTCCTATCTGAAGGGTTCGAACTTGCATTAACTTTTTTTTTCTGTGGAACCACATTAACTGTGTATGTTGTTAACATGTAGGTCACACAGGTTCTGACAGCAAGCCAAGATTCAGTTGCCCTTTTGTGAAGAACTGTACATCTCTTGTTGGGACCCTTTTTCTGACTATATTTACAGACGTGTATTTTCGTACTCGAAGCGTAAATAAAAACTTGTTTTCTACAGAGACGCATTTATGCAAGAAATAATCATTGCATAATAATAAGGCTGGCCTGACACATTAATAACATAAAATTCTATCTGAAATTTTCACTTTATAATTGTTACTTCCACAGATTTTCGCAATATCTAAGATTTAAAATGATTTTAAAAAAATGAAAAACCAATCTTGAAGCCTTTATTTCAGTTTGAATTTCAAGGTAATAGATTAAATTTAATATTTCCAATAAGCAAAATACTAATCTGAATTGACTGGAAGCAATTTTTTTTTCTTAAAGAATCTGGTTTCAGCACCATTTTAGCCCACGTTTATCGCAATTTATTTCTCTTTATTAAAAAATCTTCTAAAAGTAAAATATACTTTTCTAGAATTTTATTTGAAGAGTATTATTTGATTTAAAGTATAATTAATCTGATTTGAAACAAATATTATTTACTTTAAGTTTAAAATATCACAAAAACGCTTTTTTGGAACACGGCGATAATATCTTGAATTAAATATACTAACAAGGAAGGTGGATTATCTGGAGTAAAATTTGTGTAAATTGAGTTCTTTTTCTTCATTAATGTGTACTTAATCACACACACACACACACACACACACACACACACACACACACACACACACACACACACACACACACACACACACACACACACACACATACACATATGAAGGGGTGCTGAAAAAAATAAGATGTTTGCTGATTTGGAGAAGTTGGTTTGGCTGGGAACTTTGCAGCACGCTCTCGCGTGTATACGCGAGAGGGATGGTGGAAACACATCCCCTTTGCTATATTTTCTTTATCCAAATCAATCTTTTTTATATTTTATTCTTTTGCTAGCTTATCCAGTTAGTGAAAAAAATGTACTTACAAACCCCCCTCCGCTTTCCGACTCCATATAATGCGGTGATAACGATAACATCTTGAATTTTCTATTTACCCTTTCTCGTATTCGGTCCAATTAAATTCTAGATTCTAATAAAATAAAAACCTGGCAGGCCCCAAAAGATCTTTTCTTATCGCAATACCTTTAGTGATTCACAAAACAAAAAAATACAGAGTAAAGATATTTTTCGTTTTTATACTGTTAGATCTTTTAGGCAAACAGATAATTTATTGAAGCTGTGATTACGAATATCTTAATGAATTCTGTATGTAGATTCGTGTGATCTTGAAAATGTGATTTTTATGTATTTCTTTTTATTGTTTTTCAGTCGTCAAAAATACAACCGTGGCTTAAGCTTCCGCACAATTTCAGGTTCTGGTCCAAATGGTGCCATTATTCACTACACTGTATCGAACATCACTGATCGCGATATCACCACTCGAGACGTCTACCTCTTAGATTCAGGAGGACAATACTTGTAAGGAAATTTATCACTTAATTTTTTAATTTTTTAAAACATTTACATTTTATCCATTACTCTAACTAATTTTTAAAAATTTTTTTAAATTTTACAATTTTTTATTTATCGTCGATGTAAAACGCTCATACTGTTTCGCCAAATGCATTGATCGTACATATTCTTTATTTTTTTTAATAATTTCCCGCTTTACCTCAAACGAAATCATACGTTTAGGATTTTCACCACTAGTCTTTACACTTACTTTCTTCGAATCTATGGTGTAACTAAAGGAATTTTGCAAAATAATGGCAAAAAGACACAACAGAGATCCTTTCAGAGTGAGGGGCAGACGTGTATTGCAAGTGGAAATGCTCTCGAAGCCTGGCATTCGCTGTACCAATTAGCGGATGAAAAAATCGGCCGAACTCCGGTTCGTATCTCAAAAGACTCGTATGTCGGTACGCTCGTATGTCGGTACGCTCGTATCTCAAGTATAATAAAACCAGATTTCGACATTAAATAATCCAAAAGGGGGTTGATATGTTGTCCAATTCCCTAACGCAATCTCCCCCCGTCCTGGTAACATGTAACGCAGTACAACCTGCCGCATATTCCTTGGAGAGGAGATGAGCACCGTCCATGTACATGCGTTGCCCTGAGAATCCCCCCCCCGCCCAGGAGAGTGACTCGTTGCACGTTCTAGACGAAGATGAAGTGAATCCGTTGCTAAGTCAGCTGCTAAGAAAGTTGGTTTACTGTGTCATGCGAGGCAATTTTCCTCTCCAGAATTTATCTTACATATCTATAAGTCTACCATTTATCCATGCTTAGAATATTGCTTAAACATATGATTTGGTGCTCCTGCTATTTATCTAGATATACTTGATAAATTCCAAAGAATTAGTAATATTATTGGTCCTGATCTGGCATCTTGGCTTCAGTCACTTTCCCATTGCCATAAAGTTGCCTCAATGTGCTTTTTCTATAAATACTTTCATGGCAACTATTCGGATGAGCTCTTCGCTATGGTACCTAGACTTTATGAATACTAAACTGGCGATGTGATCTCATCAATATGCAGTTCAGTTGGCTATAGATGTAACTGTAATTTCTATGCTAACAATTTCTTTTCTTGTACTTCTCGCTCGTGGAACTTTCTTCCGACTCCATGCTTTCGAGTCAAGTTTAATCTTCAAAAATGTCAATGCAATGTCAGTCGCTTTCTACTGTCCTCCTCCTGATTACTCTTCTTTTGTTCTTGATTCTTGGTAATGTTTCTGTTTTCTAATTCTTAACAACCCCCCCCCCCAAGTAACCCCTTACGTCTTATTGGCTTCATTGCCTTGCTTGGGGTGAATTCGATTAAAAAAAAAGTCATATATCTCCATGCACGACAGTAAAGCCGCTAAGGTAGATGCAAGGGGTTACCGAATGTGAAAGAATCAGAAAGTTGGTTTCCTGTGTCGTGCGAGACAATTTTTCTCTCCTTTATAACTTCTCTTTGGTACTTGTTCTTTCATCCATCTTACTGGAACTTATCACATTTCATTTACTTCTTACCTTAAAAGGCACGAGTGTCCAAGTGGTGTAATGGAATTAAAATTCGGAGAGCCGAGTTCGATTTCCAGTCTGGTTCGTTAAATTCACTTATGCGCGAATTCCCTTGAGAAAGTTATGAATCCCATCACCAATAATATGATTATCTGGAAAAAATCATTCTTATTCTTAAAAAATTGTTAATCTAATCTAAAATATGTTCCGGCTTTAAAATTCGTAAAAAGAAAAACAAATAAATCAACTTTAGAAAGCACCCGGTGAATGTTAAATTCTCTAAGCCCTCTTTCCTCATCACGCGTCCTTTAAAATTTAGCTCTGTTATTGTATTCTAAACATTCGTCGCTAAAACTACATCTCTGCCGAGTCATGTTTTCTTCTTCGGCTGTGCTAAGATTGTCCACCATTCACTGCTATATTGGAGATTAGACATTGCAGTCCAGCACTCGTTTCTAATGTTATTTTTCGACACGTTCATGCCTTGCTCAGTTTCTGAAAAGTATCTTCCGATATTTCGATGTACCTTCTAATTTCAATGTCACACTTTCTTCATCTGTCACAAAAGTAACACATGAGCTCCTCGACGTGTAAATCATGAGGTACCGCTTTTGTTCGCAACTATGGATTCCATATTCTGATCATTGAGGTTTCCACTTTCTTTTGCGTTTCTTTTCAGAGATGGAACCACGGACATTACCAGAACTTTTCATTTTGGAACCCCAACTAGTTATGAGAGAGTAAGTTTTTATTCTTGTCTGAATTTTTGATTTGAGAAATTATCGTTATGTAATGTTTTTAAAATCTAGAATGCAAGACTGAATTTTTCATATGTAAAATATTGTTTATTCACGACTGAACTCCATCACATTTACGTAAGCCGAATGTAGTTTCGAGCCTTTCTTCAAATGTTCGATATTCTTCTTACAAGGCTGTGAAAGATTCTCCTTCTCCCCTGTTATCCGGCTGTCTTGTGTGTATATCCTAAGTTCAGTTAGGTTCACTTCCTTGTTTATATTGGGCAATCCCCTGATATCTTTTGAGACCCAATTCTACACTTTAGAGCTTTTATGTCTTTTGGCTTTTGGCATTCTGAGGTGACACTAAGTACAAAAATTATTTTGGTATCGATTAGGGCGAACCAGTATATATTGGTGTCACCACAGATCAACTTTTCTTAGTGCAGAGATTTCTGATGGACATAAAATTCGATTACGGTCTAAGATATTACCTGACATGAATCACGTGTATTTATGAATCAATTATTATACAATGATTTTTCATCTTGGTTATTGTTAGAACGATAATCTTTTCGGGTGTCTGTCGAAGCTAGTGACCTTCTGAAAATTTTGAGCCGAACACTTTTCATTCTAGAGCAGGGGTCAGCAACCTACAGGACGCGTACCGTACGTGGTACGCCAAGCAATATCCAATGACACGCAGCTGTAAATGACATCACGAAGTCCGAACCATTAACTACTACAACGCAAAGGAGAATATTTAGCTGTTTCAAAATTGCTTATTCGTTGGACTCCCATCAATAATAAAAACTTTAAAAAAAACTTTTAAAAACAGTTTATTTCTATTAATGTGGTTTACATATTATTGTATATATTACTATATAAAATATATTATAGAACAGGAAATATTGAACCGTACATCGGCATATAGTTAGGAAAAGATTACCGACTCCAAAACGTCTCTTATAAGTTGATTCGTCCTTGTCATGTCGCTTCCACCAAACGAAAATAATCTTTCGCACTATCCAGCCCAAGGATAGTTCGAACTCCTCATCAATACTGGATCTGCTTAACCGATGCTTCCTCTTACAAGGCTATCTGTCCCTTAGGAAACTTCATTGTTCGAAATCTGGCGGCTTAAACTTAAAGATTGATGTTTGCCTCTTCAATTTAACAAGGATATATATATATATATATTTCTAACAACGATGAGACTATTTCGTACAAATCAATGTCTAATGAGTTTTTTTCTATTTGTACCGATTGAAAAAGTATCAAATCGTTTTACACTAATGCAAACATAAACGACAAACTCAAACTTAGTTTTTGAATTCGGTATTTTAAGAATACGGAAAAGATAACTTTAACCGTCCTTAACGACAGGCATCATCAAATATTTTATTGGAGATCAGCGGATATTGGTGGTTTAAACATTTTCCATTGATACGGGTATCATTCATTCATGATTCAAGTCTAACTGGCTAATTAGCAATTCTAGGATTCCTGAAGTTACGTAATTTTCTGATATGTTTACTTGCCAATAAATGATATGGAAATTTTGTAAGCGTAAACTAGACGTGGCTGAAAGTATAGAACACCCAGTGAGGAACGAATTTACTATTCAATCGTAATTGATTTAGTGATACAAGCTTTCTAAGCATTACATCACGTCGAAGTGTCTCTAAAGACAATGGTATGTCTGCAATGTATACTTCCCGAAGAGAAAAAAAAACAGAAAATGGTGACAACTTGGTGCAATAAACTCAAAGACTTAATGGAATAGGTCAAGAACAAAGTTACGATGCTTGTCTCCGTTGGTAGTTGCATAATTAAAAGAAAAAAAACTTGTAGTTCCAATGAATGATTTATTTTTATGGAAATATTTCGACTAGCAGTTACCAGTCTTAGTCACTCCTTAATTTGAGTAAAAACAATGCAAAGCTCGAAGTGCTTAAGGATTCAAATAAAAGAAAACAAACCGAGTTGATGACTTTTACAAATTGAGGCGTAAAAAAAAAGGATTTTTGTTTTTTACTATATAAATTGCCTTTTTTTTTGTCATATCATATTTTTCTTTGTAGCAGAGATGTCCAGACAGGATGGAGTTGTGCTGCATCTATCCTATTGCAGGCATTTATTTTAGTTGCTATTAATAGTTCAACTATTATTTGTTCAGCAACTTTTCTTTGATTGAAATGCTTTTGGTTCGTCAATTTTATTTCTGGATGGTCAAAGTCAATTCTGTGTAATGGCATGTAATGCAATCGCTTTTTTCCAATATTTATTTTTACTTATAATTTGAAATGTTATCACAAAGTCTTTGATGTTCATCCAGTCGTTCTTTCAATGATTTTGAAGTCATGCCCACATAAATAGGTATCATACTATTAAAAAAAATCAGGAAGCAAACTATTTTCCTTTTAATAAGACTTAAAAAATAAATCCTTCAATCGATCAATCCACCAGCGTTTTCACTGTCCAATCTCTGACGTCATTAGTCGAGTGTCGCTTTGGTCTTTCCATCAATACTTCCCTCCAGAATGTGTGTGCAGAGGACCTGATACCAAAGTATTGCAGTTTTCGATTCATTATGGTCACTCCCAACTGCCTCTCTGTTCCCATCTCCTCCGGGGCAGACTCGTTTGTTTTGTTCTGATGCGAAGTGCTGCACATAGCTGGTTCTCTCTAAAGACATGCCATAATTATTCCATAAGATAAGAAATACAAATCTAATTTGTTCGGAGTTCAAAGATCTACATTTTTTAGAACAAAGAAAAGTTCTACTTACCGACTGGAGATGGGCGTTGCTCTAGTAGGGTCTATCGAAAATGAAAGAGAAGTGAATATCATTTCTTTTAGAAAATATGCCTTTCAAAGGTGTTGGTCAGCTGCTGTTGCTGCAGTACAAACGCATTAGACCTCTTGAGGGCCTTACGATGTGTGGAGCCCAAGTGGGGGAAAATTGGACGGGCCCTGATTTTATGTGTACTTGATGAGTGTAAAATGTTGTAGCGCGGGCTCCAATTAGAAGTAAATTATCCAATCGTCTTAAGACTAGTCTTGAGCTCGGTCGTTTACTCTTGACGAGTACTTTCTCTCAATGACTCTGAAAGTTTATTTTGAAATGATATTACATCTCATGTGGCACAAGACCAAAAGAGAAGTGGGGGAAAAGCTGGTCGTCACTGACTATCCTACACCAAGCTAATCTGATTCACGACTCAATTACAATCGACTCAATTTACCATAAGTACTCATTAATCACCATTCAATCCAACACATGCCACAATACTACATATTCACATGGATCCTACTAAAAACACCTATGACATAAAAAATTCATATATACAAAATATCTTTTTCTTTTTTAAAACATTTTTTCTACAAAAATATATCATGAAATGAAAGGGGTGTGTATGATCCCCCCAATCACTGAGCCTGACTAACTTAATCCAAACACGTCAGATAGACTTTATTCGTATCTTTCAAAGTCCTACCTTTCAAACATCCCAGGCAGTTTCCATCAAGAGCAATCCTACATTTTTACTTAAATCGTAGACGATCATGACACGCCACAGATTCCTTTCCTTCATTATCTTGAAATTGCCACGAATTCTTCCGAAAGATGGTGGAATGCTTTCCTGTTGATTTCTCTACGGCAATTCAATTTTTTCCTGTCTTAGCCTGGCTGCTACCCAAGACTCCAGAGCCCAGTCTTCACTGCTATTTAACCCATTGATTGGGCAAGAATATATGAATTCACGTTTTTCCATTAATGTGAAAATACAAATTATTTTCAATGAAAATTTCGATTAAAGAAAAGTTCTCTTCTGTTTTTTTTTTTTGTTTTTATCCAGGAATGCTACACGCGTGTTTTGATGGGTTTTATTGATTTAGCTCGACGTCGATGGCCAGAAGGAACCATGGGTAAGAATTTGATTTCTTTTTTTTATTTTAATTTTCTAAAAACATAGATGATTTCCCCGGTTTGTTTTGGTTTATTTTGTTTTGATTTATTTTGTTTTACAGCAAATCAACATTAATAGGTTATTTAATACCGTCAAGAATTTTAAGATAGGTTCGTACGAATAGAATATGTATTCTTTGTAAGAAATGAGTTTATAGTTCAGGTTTCATTGACCTGTTTTTTGTGAAGAGGCTTTTTTGTCAAGAGCCAAATATACTGCTGGTATTTTTTTTTTCAAAATGTATTGCGGGTAATTTTTTTTCCAAAAATGTATTTTATACTTTCATAGTGTTTTGACCCTAGTTTTGGGGTTAACTATTTGCCCATAGCTGGGATCCTAACAGGTGCCACCACCCCGGGTCAGGGTGGACCTGGGAACAACAGCAGAGGTGGTTCCACGCTTCTCAAAACCTTCTGAGCAGATTCCTTGCTGCCGGATGTAGTTTATCGTCATACCCAGGACGTGATTTCTCCGGGGTGGACGATCTATCAAAATGATGGTAATTGAAATATGGTTATCTTTGTAGTACTCCTTAAATAGACTGGTCCACTTGTATAAAAGAAAAAAATAGGAAAACATCATCTGGGGAATCATTTTTGTAGATTAACATTTATTTCATTTTCCTCAAGCGATGACATTCATCAAAAAAAAAAAAAAATATTGATTTTATTTTTATCGATTTCGAATAGAACACGTTTTCATAATATCCCTGACTTTTTACAAAGTTTTTTTTTTTTTTTGCAAAAGTCGTGTGAAACTGTGCTTACGTCATTTGCATTATTTTTAATACTTCTTTTAATCGTCTTAGTAGCATTATTGCCTTGACGTTGCCTTTAAATTTTTGAAGATTGTAGTTGGCAAAACAAGAAATCGGAAATCTAACAGGTGAGAGGTGTGAGAAAAGAAAAAAGTAGAAGTGGGGGTTGATCTAGCTAGTTCTACTGTAAAACGGTGAGACCTAGTTGCCAATCTAGTAGAACGTTTATTTTCATGTAGTCGGGGCACCAGGTCAGGGGGGAGGGGAGGTTCGTCTGATCAGTTGCCATGAAAATATTTGTATAAAAGACAGTCACGTCACGCTGGTTAAAAAGCGACTAAAAAGCCTGGTCACAATCAATTACGTTACAGACTCTTTTTTGAATTTTGCTAAGATTCTTGAGATGTACAGCAGGAGCACCAGACCAGATATGGCAACATTATTCAATGAATGGTAGATTTATAAACGTACAAGATGGATTCTGACGAGAAATATTTCCTGGCACGACACATTGAAATAACTTTCCTTGCAGTAGACCTAGCAATTGATTCGATGTATTCACTTCACTTTATATCAGTGGAAAACGTGAGGCCGAGAAGGAGCAGTGTTGCTTTCCTGGAGCATCAGCCATTCGGGTGACAGGCAGAAGCTGTTCTCTGGCTATTTTTTATTGATTTTATAACATATTTATGTTATAATTTTCGAATAAAATTTTTTATATATATATAAAGAGAGAGAGAAAGAGAGATTTTTTTCTTTAAAAAATTTTAAGAATCTGTTTTTATACGCAATTATCAATGGCGTAAGCGTAGTTTCAAATTTGACATATGTAAATCAGAAAGTCTAGATAACTTTTTAAAATGTCAGGGATCGATTTTACGCAGTATCGATATTATAAACAGGACCTCTTCTAAAAATGGTAAAGAAAAAAAATTCGTATTATTTTATTCTGCCAAATGTGGTTTGAGGAATGTCTAATTTCCGCCCCTCACTCCCTAAGAAAATTTACCTATTATTTTTATTTTATTTTTATACAAGTGAACCAATCTATTTAATTAGTGCCGTCTTTTTAACTATGCGGTAATAATTATATTCGTGGTGTATGTAGTAATGTGGAAAGGAAGCCACATTCTTCTTATAGCAATAACAAATTGTTTTATTTGTAATTTAGAAATGCTCAAACATTATTAATCGTCTGTCTCTGGCACAGGACCAAGTGAATGGAAATGAAATTGTAGGAAGATTGTGTTATGTCAAATAGTTAAACACGAGCAGACCGCTTTCCTTGAAAATCATCTTTAGAAATATTGGTTTATAACGGTTCGATGACCGGCTAATGATGTCGGAAATACAAAACAAAGTTCATTTCCAAGAATGTTCTGTGAGACAGAATTCTTATAAATTTTGAAAAGAGCTTGTGACAGTCTTATTAAAAGACTTTTAATGATATACCAATCTTGCAATATGTCGCTCCTGTTGTAATTTTACGTTGTTTACATAATTTTATCCATTGTTTCAAAAACTAACATTTCTTTGAAAATTATCTTTTGTTTTTCTTTCTTAATTTAAGGTTCTTTCTTGGATTCCTTCGCCCGCCAACATTTGTGGGATGTTGGCCTCGTTTACTTACATGGAACCGGTCATGGCATTGGAGCTTACCTCAGTGTTCATGAGGGTAAGTAATTGTCTTATGGAGGAACGGGTTGGGGGTTAATTAAATCACTTGTTTCTCGACTACATTTAAGCTTTGGCAAAGGTTTTCGCTGATTTTGTTAATGACATTTTAACTATTACACCAAAAGTTTTAAAATTTTCTTACCAATAAGAACTGTTGTGGGAATAAACTCTTTGGTTGCGAGGTGTGGTCGCTTTTTAGTTAACATTTAACAACTCCTGGAACAAACAATATTTTGCGGACTCATGTGAGTCCGGGTAAAAATAAAATAAAATACAAAACATGGAATTTAAAACAAACGACAATTAATTCATGTTATTATTAAAAGGAAGTATGTGTCTATGTAACAATATGATTTCTCACACATCTTTAGAAGATAAGGAGGTAACTTCTTATCTTTTAAGTTCACTTAGTTATCTGAGTTTCGTAGGAATTTTGTTTCCAGTCCATCTTTGAGTAAATTTAAGTGTTAGTGTTTTGGAGGATTTATGTTTACAGCTGCCTTTGAATTTGGAAACATAAAAATCTTATAAATGATTTTAGATAGTGGTAAAAGTAGTCCTTTGAAGATTTGACCACCCATGTGGTTTTGGGATGGTCCCAAATCTTCCAGAAGACAAATGGATAGAGGAGGTGGTGGGACTCTAGAATTACCCATATAAGCAGAGAGAAGTCGAGAAAAGTGGGTCCTGCCTTGGGAGAAGTAGATAGATGACCAGAGGAGTGAGAACTGCCAAGCGGCCAGTATTAGAAGGAACTGTAGTGAGGAATCAGGAGTCACCGAGCCCAGAAGGCCAGTGAAATTAGGGAGATAGCAGTACAGCCGAAGGGAAGAATAACCGGCTAAGTATGAAATCGTGTATTGTTGTTACTTCCCAACGAGAGAGTCTTGAAAAACAATTGTTTCCATTTTGTTTGTTGAAAGCGATCATGGCCGAGAAGATGAACCTGTGCAAATAGCGAGTTGGGGGGTAGATGCAAATACACTCAACCTTAGATGTCTTCAAAGTTGCAGTGAACGACAGACGATCGGAGAACGTTGTCACAATTACGCCACGAATGGCGTCACATGTATACAACTGAAATCAAAGAATCATTAAAACTAGCTATAAAAATGTGTTTGTGTAGGAAACAAGTGTGATTTGGTTTGTTTTATACATATCAACCTCAATGGGTTATTTAATTCCAACAAGATTTTTATTGCTGGTAATATTCTTTACTAAAGTGTATTGCTGGTAATACATTTTTTCAAAAATGTATTGCTGGTAACATTTTTTCTTCAAAAATTTATTGCTGGTATTAAAACCTATTTTTACACTTTCATAGTGTTCTGACGCTAATTTGGGGGTTAAATGTTTGTCCATACCTGGAACCCTAACAGGTGCTACCACTCCAGATCAGGGTGGACCTGGGAACACCAGCAATTAAGAGGTGGTTCCACAAAACTTCCTGATCAGAGGCCTGAAACAAGTGTGCGTGATACACGTGTGTGTGCGTGTGTGTGTGAGAGAGAGATCGATCGAGATCGAGGTTAATAGTCAGCGCACCAAGGAAGCGAACGCGCCCCAGCCGCGCCTATTTTATTTACGTTCGACTACATATGGAAGCAAGAGGAGAAAGAGAGGGAGATATTTTCTCTTTTTATGGACTTAAATAGCGCCACCTAATGGACATTTATGGCGAAGAAAAGTAGGGTAACCTACAGAAATATTAAGAAAAGTTTCGAATTTGTTCGTCTTTTTTTTTTATTTGCGCCACCCAAATGAATTTTTTAAAAAACAAAACTTCGGTTCATACAGACTAAAATCCAGATGAGCCATTTTTCTCCGTTCATATATATATATATATATATATTTGGTTGGATAGATGCGAGTTTGTTAGCTCTATCTCTGATATTGAGCGCTTTCTAATAAGTACCGCGCATATAATATATAAATAATTATACATATATATATTTATTTATATTTGTATACATTTTTCACACAGACACACACACACGCGTATATATATATATATATATATATATATATATATATATATATATATATATATATATATATATATACCTTTAAGTAGAGTGGCGCTAAAAAAAGAACGCTTTTCGTTTTTAACTGTGAAAGAAAGACAACGTATTTGAAGATGCCACCTTTTCATTAATGTCAGCGTTTTTATTCACCTTCATGCTCACACTCTAGTTAAACAATTCATTTGAACAAAAGATAAAAATAACATAAAAATATTGTATTAGTCTTGTGTGATTAAATTTATGAACTTTAAATTCTGTATTATCTCTATTAAGGAATTCTACTGATGTGGATGTGCAAATGGTGTAATGGATATCGATTTGGAATGAGAAATCGGAGAGTCGAGTTCGAATTCCAGTCGGGTTCGTTACATTCACTTACGTGCAAATTCCCTTGGGAAAGATATAAATCCATCTTTTCTCACCCCAGCTATGTGTTAAATAGCAAGATATACTAGGTCCCATGGCCTTGGTTGGTAACCAGTTTACCACAGAAATAAATGACAACCTACTGCGGGAAAATTTTCTGCCTCCTCGGGCATGGATCGAAAGGGACATGGTCGCCCAAGCGTGTATTACGTAAGGCACTTAATTGGCTGATATATCATTTATTATTATTTTAGTTTTGCTTTTTTTTTTACTTTCAAATGTTCCTAAATGTTTGATTATATTAATTTTCTTTTGCATATTATTTTTTTTATAAATACATTGTTTATAAACACGCCATCAATTAACCCTTTGAGCCCCTGCGTGCCTGAACATTTTTAACCCTTCTGCCTCCTGAGTCAAAATTCGCAAATAATTGGTATGTAATGTTTCGCAGTAGATATAAAAATAGTTACAAAAATATGAGCATTATACTGAGAGAGAGAGAGAGAGAGAGAGAGAGAGAGAGAGAGAGAGAGAGAGAGAGAGAGAGAGAGTATGATTGCATGCCTTCACTTTATCGCCAGAATTTTTTCTTTGTGTGCCAGTCTACCAGCAGGTGCTGCCTCTCTTGATGCACAAGAAGTGCTGGTATGTTGTGCAGCGGATTGAAGACTTCACAGACTTGACAGGATAGTCTATGTAGGCCACAGGTTTTTCTTCTTCAATTTATATTGTATTTAAAAGATCACGCAGTACAGAGGTTGTTAGTGGAAACATCTTCTGGTATCTCTGGGATGCTGACATTTTGCAGGCTTTCCAGAGCATCAGCATTGATTGACTGCCTGCGCACTGCAGCTGGCCAAAATGCACCCACCAGATCCACACAGTATTGACCTAAGAACTTTCTGAAGCTGAGGGACTTGGCTTGCAGGGGGAAAGTTGCCTGGAACAACACAATAGCAAAACACGACGCAAGTGTTTACCTACCGTTCAACCGGTTGCTGAGCATTACGTCATTTTTCTCTACCACCGGTAAAGCGGTTGTCAGGGCTGAAAGAGTTAAACCCAATGATAACTGCTGTCATTCAAAACACGACGGTGAATATTAATGAATTATAGATAAAACAAATCCTGTAGTTAACTGATTTTATGGCGTGCATTAATGGTCAAGTTTGTTGCGAGAATTTTTTGCTTGTGGAGTGCAGATATGTTTTGGTAATTATTTAATGGCTCCTAGCAGGGCCGGTGCAAGGGTCTCATACCCCCGAATTACCCCCGAATTTGTGATATTCCTCCCCACTCACATACATCACATAAGGTTGCATTCATATAAAATACAAATTTTTTATTGTAACCTAATTTTCTACAATAATGGCTCATATGCAAAATAGGTGAACAATTCAACTAGAAAAATGTGTCTAAATAAAAATTAGAAACATGTCATAATAGATCATTACATCTTAAATAAATCAATTCTTAACATCAACTTGAGGTTCTTTTTATTAAAAAGTTCAATAATTTTAGCACATTCAACATTAAATTTTATATAGTGTTTCTTCATGTATATGGACAAAAAAAACAAAAACACAGAATAACATCGAAAACCGCTGAATTTTTTTCATCCCTTAATAGTCAGTTGTGCTTTGTTTAATTTGTTACATATATAGATGTAGGTAAACAAAGCAAATATTGATAAGACACGGAAGGTCAAAAAGCAATTACCAGGATCCCGAATCAGATTTGAATTTCAAATATTCTTGTATTGTTTTATTAAATATTTTAACTTTTGGTTGGAATCAGAACAATCTAATTTTTATTCATGGAGTGTTATACTTATTTAACTAGAAATACCCGTGAAAATTTCAATATTTTCCTATCTGTTTTTTTTTCTGATGAATCTTAATTTTTAAGTTAAAGATTGAATAAGCTCATGGCGACTTCTACGGCAATAAAATATCCGTAGAAATTCCTCTATCGCATCGTTAAACATGTGGGGCGGAACAATTTTAACAGAATATTGCAATAACAATCATTATGAATGCTGGGGCACTTCGACATGATGTAATGGTTAGCATGCTCGTCTTGTTAGATGAATTATAACTGAGTAATAAGTTCTATCCTCACTTGGTACTCAAAACATTTAACCTTGTGCCACATCTAGGTTACGCTTAGAAAAGCACCATAAATTATAAATGCTGGCAGTTATTTTAAGAGATACAAATGAAAAAATTTTAAATAAACAAATTTTTACATTTCACTGAAACCGCCGTTAAAAACACATTGTCTCTTCTATCTTTCATCTTTCACTGTTTTTTTTTTCCTTTCATTTTCTCACTGAAACCAGTTAGCGTTTTTCATATGTCTTTTCCGCCTTTCCAAGTGATCGAAACGGAATAGCCCATTATTTATAAGGTACAGCCAGGGGGTAACTGATATGTCGTTTCCATCATTCCACGTGATCAAAAAGAAATAGTCCATGATGTATAAGGTCGTAATGTATGTGATAATTAAGGAGGGCTATATTAAGATGTTGCCCTTGGCTTTCTAGTAAGTAATTTACATATCGTAATTATAACTTTAAGTTACCTCAGTTCCACTTATCATTTTTAGTCTTTAAAATTTGGCGGGAAACACCGGATTCATACCACTAGTAATTTAATATTGCTAATATTGCAAAGATTATTTACAGTATAATTGCTAATGATATTAATAAAGATATTTTAAAGAATTATTTTAATGAAATTTGAAAAGCAGATTTAACACAGAGAGCAAAATAAATTTGATGACTTCGATTTTGTTTTGTACATTTTCATTAATTTTCTTTTTTGTTTTCTATTTTGAGGTCCATCCGCTTTAACAGCTCATATGAAAAAGCACGACGTGCCATTAATGGATGGAATGTTTCTTTCGGATGGTAAGTGTTGCCAATTTCAGCTTATTGAATAGCTGCAATCTTTGACATTCATACCCCGCCCCCACAAAAAAAAACGACTTGTCTAAAGGACTGTTTTTCCCTAAACACTATTTATTTATTAGATTGTTTATTTACAAGAATAATTTTATATTTACAACATTCTAAAAACTAATACAATTAAAACTAATGCAATACAATATTTATAATTTACCAATTTATAAAAGAAGAGGTTCATCCAGTTGTCTCCATATTGCAAAGTGACCAACACTCTACAGAAGAAGACGAGTCTGTCAATAGTGAAAGAAGAGGTTGAGTTGGCAGTAAAGAGGTTGAAACCTGGCAAGTCACCCAGATAATATTCCCTCTGAGCTGATAAAACATGGAGGTGAAGAAACCATCAAAGCCATAACAACACTATGTCAGAAGATTTTGAAGTTTTGTGGGACACCAGAAACCTCTTTTCGCCACTGTGTAACGGAGAAAATGACGGGGTTTGGACGCGTTACAAGGCACGACAGCCTGTGCCAGACCATCATGCAAGGCACTGTTGAAGGTGTACATAGGAGAGGACGTCAACGCAAGAACTGGTTGGGCAATGTCAAACAATGGACCAGAATACAAGAATTGTTGATAGTTGCCGTTGTTAGACCGTGTGTGGAAAAGAGTTAGCGTGGCTTCTGCATTCGGATTCACCCTACAATTACAAAAATCAATGGGATGATGATGATGATGATGAATTTATAAAAAAATTAAATATGAAAACAATTTTTTCTTCATAAATTTCTAAGCTTTTACAAAATTATTAAAACATGTGAACCAATTATAAGGAAATATTTATTATTTTATTAGATTCTTTATTTTCGCTATTTATTTATTTATTGGAATGGTTTGACAAAACATCGGCTAGTTGTCAAGTGATTCGAACTTTATAAAATGATAAATAAGGATTTCCTTATAGTTGGTTCACATAATTTAATAAATGTTTATAAATTTATTAATAAAATATTGTTTTCATATTTATTTCTTTATAAATTGTTAAATGATAAATATTGCATAGCATCAGTTTTAATACAAATTTCTTGGATTTTAGAATGTTGTAAATATAAAATTATTCTTGTAAATAAATAGTGTTTAATATTTTTGTTGTAAATTCTCAAGAACAAAAAATTTATAAATTCAATTTCATATGTCGGCTTTATTCAAATTGTAATCATCGCTTTTTAAAACAATAAAGATAGCCGAGGGAGTGAAGCTAGTTAAAATAATAGCGGTGTCAATGAAAAATCGTCCTTTTTGACACACCGTGTTTATTTATTTAGCGGGCATGAAGGTTAAAGATTGGTCGATTTTTGTTTGTGTGCCTTGAGATACTAATTCTCAAACATTTCTTCCTCAGAACCAGGATTTTATGAAGATGGTAAATTTGGTATTCGTCTGGAAACGGCACTTATGGTCCAAGAAGTAAGAACAAAGGTATCTAGTTTGCTTACATTCTGACTTGGTACAATATAACCCTTTAATGATTCTTAAATGGTCATTCCATTTTTTAAAATCAAAAACTAATATTTAAGACAAAGCTATAAATAAATGATTCGATGTAGCGTAATGTCTATAAATTCGAAAAAAATAACTCCAGAAAGGCATGAACCCATCTTCTCATTTTGTAATTTTTTGTCAGATATAATTTCCAGTTTTGATAGAGTTCATAAGTGTCACCGGGTCCTTGCTGGAGAAGAATTATTTTCCACCCTTCAACCTCTCTCTCACAAACAGTTGGGGTGTGGTGAGTCTCTCACTGCTCTATCACAACTTCCATGGACAGTGCTCTGAACTGCATCTCCTGGTTCCGCCAGGTATGATCTTCATGGCTGGGACCAGGTATGCCACTTACATAGTAGCAAACCCCATCCACATTCCCTCCCTAATCAATCAGCGAGATGCAAGTTCTACTCAAACATCTTCTTCTTGCGAACCACTGCTCTGTGGAACAGACTTCCTAGGGGATGTTTTCCCAATCGCTACAATCTTAACCTGTTCAACCGTTATCTTCCCCTCCTATCCATATAAACTATCTCTTAATGTAACCCTCTACCTCGAGTGGTCACCAGGCCTTGCACAGGGTGAACCTTTCTGTAAAAAACAACAACAAAAAAACAAAAAACTTAACAATAGTTTATACAAACTCAAATCCGTTTTGAAAATCTCGTTTCCATCTGTTGAGGTGTTAATTTACTCTCTCCCTTTTTCCCTGTTTCAGTACCGCTATAAAAACATGAGGTTCTTGAGTTTCAAGCCAGTCACATTGGTGCCTTTTGAGACAAACTTGATTGATTACTCAATGCTGAACAGAGGTCATGTAAGTATTAATTGGTTAATATAGACAAAGATTTATGCAGACTTTCACTTGACTACGTATTTTAAAGTCCCATTTTTCTCAACTTTACCACATAACTGTCGCTATTTCTGAGATGTAATTATTTTCATTATTTACATTGTTCGGGGGGGGGATGGAGATTACTGCCCCCTGTGGGTTGTGGTCAAAATAATCGACAAAATAATCATTGGATAATAACGAAAACTTAAAGAATATGCTAAGCCACAAAAATCTCCTAAGTCGGCCAAGCATAGAAATACAATATGGGAACCATATTTTGGAGTTCCCAAAAAAAAAGCAATGATAACAAATTGCAATATGAGCTGTGGTAAAAAAAACTGATTACTGAGACATTAAATTTATAAGTCCCCAAAATTCATGCACTGATGTTCTCAAGGACGCATGGCCCAGTGGATAAAAAGCGTTGGTTTGGATCCAGTGACGTGACTCAAAGAGTTGTGAGTGGTGAACAAAAACTTGGAGAGTTGAGTTAAAGGGAGATAACTGAGACATCTGACACGTGACATTAGAACAATCTAAAACGAAATAAAGGAGTCGGTTCGAAATTCCAATCACATGACAAAGTCCGGATCAAGTGGTCGTCAGAAAATGTAGTGTTGGTTTGATTGTGGCAAAGCTGTATCACAAAGGAAAAAAAAAAAAAAAAATGTTCTTGCAGACGAAATAATGAAAAGACGGGAATTTCTTCAGGGTCTATTTCTATGTGGTTTTATATTAGTTCTTTATACAGAAATATTAACCCTTCCCACTTTGGATTCTATCATGACATTTTGCTCAGTTTAGCTATGTCTAAAACAAGGCTTACGTCGGAGGTTCTCTCTGGCACCAAGTCACGTGGGATTCAGCAGAGTGGTCGTTTGTCGTCTAGAACAACTCGTCTCTGGAACTTCTGGATTGGTCGATTCAGGGTTCTGCTTATATTGGCTTTCACCCCAAACTGGTATGGGGTTAGATGACACGGTGTTTCTCCTATCTTGCAACAAGAGCCTCTTTGTTATCTGGCTCTGGATAATTAATTATATCTCCAAATTTGGGGAGATCCCTTTTCCGATGGGTAGCGATCACAGGATATCGATCCACCCAACTTCTTCCTTCTCTTATTTGTGCCTCGCACTAACACTTCCTAATGGGCGTAGACAATTCTTCCGTCCTTCTTGGTATTTCACCTGCGCCTGTCACTTTGGTTGTCCTTCGACCAATCTGGTTCTCAACTGCGTGACGTGGCTTAGTTGGTGGTCATTAATTAAAATTATCATTTTAATTTCTCGTCGGCAAATTTTCCCAACCTGGTTTTGAATTAGAAATTTACCAGCTGTTTTCTCCAGTCAGTTATCTCTCTATTTTGTTAGGGTCATTGCACTTTAAAAAAAACCCTGGGTTTGGTTTTTACATAAGGAAATTGTACCTTCTTGACTTGTTTACAATTTTCAATTCTGCCCTGTTTTTAAAACTGCCAAATTTCTATCGCTTGATTTGTGTTTTCGTAATTGACACTCTTTAGGCAGTGTCATCAATCAACTGTCAGCTAAGTATCACCACACATGGCCTCGATGGTAATTGTCTTGTAAACACAATCACTTTTCTTCGAGTTATCTTCGTGCAAAAAGAAATAGACTTTTGAAACTAAAAGGAAACTTGCTTTCTCTCAGTATGCCCATCATTTTATTCTTTAACTCTTTTCGTCTTGCTCCAAGCTTATATTTTAATTTTAACCCTTTCTTTCCGTTAGCCAGTGTCACATGGTGTCACAAATAGACTTACTAACAGGAAATTTCATTAAATATTTTGGTTTTGGTTTTTGTCATTTCTCTTCTCAGCGAAGAACATATTCTCACGCAAATCTGGCATTCAAATTAGGAATTAAGTACTTTGTGGATTTGCCCATTTGTTTGTATCTAATAATAAAAACCTTATCATAAAAAGGCAAATAAATTGCAGCTTTAAATTCTACTAAAATTATTCGAAGTTTAATTAATTGTGATGATATAACTCAACACAACTTCAATTCCATTATTATAGCAAAGTTTGAATTTATACAACACGAATTGAAAGGTTTCTAATATTTTCATTAAATTCCCTATTTACAGATTGAATTCCCTATTTCTTTTACAGATTGAATATTTGAACTATTACAATCGTCTCTGCTCAGATGTCATCGGTCCCGAACTGCTGCGTCTTGGGAAGTACGATGCAATCGAATGGTTGCGTAAAAGAACCATACACCTTAGTGGTGCTGCTAAAAATTCGTCTATTTTATTCATTTTTGTATTGATGTTGTACTTCGTGTTATAATTGCAAGCATTTTTTCTATGCACCTCATTTAGAAATCACCCGCGAAACACATGCAAAATGGCCAGCATTTTAATAAGTGTAGATATATATACCTATTAACTTTTAAACCATTAATCAATCATTCCAATCACATTTCGTGGGAAAAAGGAAAACAAAATAGATGAAAAAATAAACAAAAAAAGACAGTGATGGTTATTTCATTTTATTCTAAAAACCGAGCCAATTTTTTTTTTCCACATACGATTTTTCTGTTTTTGTAACATTCAGAATGCATTATCAATAAATGCATATATTATTTTATTTTTGTTTTGTTTTATTAACGCCAGGTTTGTGGACCTTGTGTGTCTCTCTCTCTCTTTATTTTTTACTCAGCGTTTTCTCACGGGGATTTATTTAATCTTATATATACACAAGGTGCAGTGGATAAATTGTCGTCTAAATTAGGCAAAAATGAAAATAACACTGACATCTTATTTTAACAGATATATTTACCAAAATTACACAAAAATATATTGAAATGCTAAAGGGTAAATTTATTCAATAAAATCACTATTGGTCTTAGCGACGGCCCCAGACGATTTTGAAATCTCCTGTAGCTCTTCTGGACGGTCTCCTTGTTTAAGTTGGTGAATGCGGCCAATTAGTCTGGGGAATTAGGTGGCCAGATGTAAAGGGTGACGTGGTCGCGGAAATTGTCTGACAGGTTTCTCCTGCTTGTGTGGCATGGTGCAGAATCCCGTTCCAGTAACCACCTTCTTGAGCCAGGGCAGCACTTACCTCCTCAATCTTCCGGGTTGAGTCTGAGGCCCTGTGGGGAAAATGAATGGAGGCATAATGTCGCCATCACTTGTGATCACTCCAAACACCATGATGTTCATTGGGTATATCATCCAATTCTTTCTGAATACTCTGCACTGTCCTCAGATTGACACTAAAATATTTGTATTGGAGCATCCGGCATGGTGCTTTTTTTCTCACAGACAATTCCCAAATGACCCTACTTATACTGTGCACTTGACAAAGTCAAAAACAAAAAACGTGCATGCGCAGAATAAAAAATAATGTCGACAATTTATCTATCGCACCCCATGTGTGTGTGTGTGTATGTGTGTGTATTTTCACTTCTCTTTTATATATATATATATATATATATATATATATATATATATATATATATATATATATATACAGTATAATTTATATTTAAAAAATTCACATTAAAACCAAAAACCTTTTATGCTTCTTTTTTCTTCTCTTTAAAATATACACTTTTTCTCGTTAGAAAACAATAATTTTGTGTGTGTGTGTGTATATATATATATATATATATATATATATATATATATATACACAGACAAACACACATGAAGTCGTATTAAATTCAACCAACTAAGTTTGAGTTTGTTTAATTTTTCATTGATTTTTTCCAGTTTGTTGTGGATCTACAATAACAAAAATAAAATGACATTTTGTCGGTTGAATTTATTGTTTAAAAAATGGATTCTTGCTGCCTAGGACTGACACAAATTATTTCTTTATTTTTTTCGTGCAATAAATCTATTCAACGTTATGGTACAAACCAACAAACCAATGGTATATTTAGACATTTATTTTCAATATATATATATATAAAACAATACTTGAATTATATTGTTTTTCTACGCTGTTTATTTGTCGGTGGCGCACGCATGTTTTTAAAAAATTTCCATCACAACGACGAAATGCAGTTGCACTGTATCTTTGTAATCTACCCCTGAGGAGGATCTTGGAGAAAATCGAAAGTACTTGGGTAGGAAAAACTACGGCGCTTTCCTTGATGAATTTCATCTTAACATCAAGAATACGACTACGGAACTGGAAATGATCACTATAAAAAATACATAGACACAATATACCTATATTATTCAATGAAACACCTTTGAATTAAGATATGCTGCCTAACACACACACACACATATATATATTTTATATCGAGCGCTATTTAATATCTTCATTATTTATTTTATTAAACTCTCTCTCTCTCAGATATATATATATATATATATATATATATATATATATATATATAAAAAGTGAATCCAGTAATTAGCTAACTTCTGATCTGAAATTTTAACTCTATAATGTGATTTGAAGAAGTGTTTGGTTAAATGCATTGACAAAGATGATGAAGTTAGACAAATGGCTTTTCTGATCCAAATTGACACAGTAAGAAGAGTGAAAGTATATATGAGGATTATGGAGATAAACTGTATTGCATTGAATGATGATGATTGTTGTTGTTAACAATACCAACAACAACAACTGTGTATATTCATTTCCTTCCAAGTCCCTGAGGTCAAAAATGGTCTCATCAGATTTTCATTACACACATGTGTAAAGAAAAAAAAAAGAAAAGAAAAGAAAAGAAAAAAAAACACAACCTACAAGCATATGCGCATTTTACAGTGAGGACAATCTTATATCTCTTTAAGGCATGACCTACCAGCGATCCCTTCAATGAGTCTATCAGAACCCTTTCTAATCAAAACGAGAATTATTGGTGTTTTCTTGTGCCACGTTTGTTTGTTTTTTTTTTTTTTTGTTTTTTTTTTTTAGATTTCTACTTCAAGAAGCTTTTATTTTTTATAGTTGTTGAAAATCTTCAAAGATATATTACACCCTGAAAGAAATGCAAGGTCAATAAGAAAGCACATTCTGTTTTTGTGTTCTTTGATCATGATGTCTGAGCGATTAGTTTTGATTGTTCTGTCTCCGTGTATTGTGAATTCTCATGAAATTGTTACAAGTCCTATATCTTTAACAAGCTCTTCATACCAATTTATTGCAGTTTTATCCTCGTAAATGTTGCAGGTTTTCCACTGCAGACATTGACTCACCCTATCATGCCGAGTTTTAAATTCGTTTATCATTATTATTATTATTATTATTATTATTTTAAACGTTATATTTTACTAGATACACGTGTTTGAGTAGACGTCCTGTTCTTTTATTTTAAATAGTGTGAATTACAGCCATTAAGAAAATGTGCCCTCCTGAAGGGTTTGAACCTGCGTCACCCTCTGGCGTCCTACAACGGGATATGTAGGTTCGTACTCTGCTGGAAGCCACAGTTTCTTTATTAAGACTCTCGAATGCACAGGGCATCTACTCAAACACGTGCATCCTCTAAAATATAACGTTTAAAGTAATAAGAAATAATGTCGGATTAAAAATGTATATAATGCAACGCGTATAAAAGTGGTTTGAGAAGTTGGAGTCTCTTCAGAATAACTTAACATTTATCTAACTAAAGTTCAATCCAATCACATCTTAAACAAATGTTTTATTCCCAGGAATGTAGAAGTCTGTAGTCGTCGATAATATCCGTATATCAGCAATTGCAAAAAGTTTCTATAAACAGGAATTTTGAGGATTCGTTTCTGAGGATGACAAGAGAATGGTCGAAAGTGCTAGAGCCGATAAAATGCCATGGATAATTTCGGTGCATTCTTACAAAAATCAAAAAAAGTACGTAAAAAAGAAATTAATTCTTTAGTCACTGTATTTAATAATACTAAGTGGAGTCAAAAGTTTTTTCGTATTTCAAGTTTTAATTATTTGTTCAAACAAATTACATACGAAATTCATCATATTCTATTGTTGATTCCCGCCGTTCTCCCAGAAACTCAATTCAACGCTTATAGCATTTCGTAGGTAGAGAGGTAAAAAAAACTCCCTGGACCCGTTTTCAACCTTATCCACATTGTTGAACCTCCATCCGCGCTGGAAATGAGCCATGGTTCGGAAAAGGTGGTAATCTGATGGTGCAAGGTCTGGACTGTAGGCAATGTTGAAGCACCACTTCCAACTCTTCAAGTTCATCAAATTTACACTTGGTCACTGTGTGCTGGGGTATTGCCATGCTGTCGGGGTGCACGTATTTGATCGACCAATGCCGGAGAGTGAACTTTCAGGGAATCAGTTTTTGAGCATAAAGGTCAGCGTTCATAGCAGATGACCATCTCGAAAAAACTCAAAGCGGAACACCCCCTCGAAATTCTACCAAACACACAAATTACCTTCTGTTCAAACCACCTTTGACAACAGATTCTGAAGCTTGGTCGGAACTAAGCCATTGATTTCTCTTATTAGAATTAAGAAAATAGAACCATTTTTCATCCCCACATCAACAAAAACGGGCATCTTTAAGATTTTCCGGCAGTTGTTTGCAAATGTTCATACATCGTATGTATCAAATTAATGATATTATATCATTAATTTGATACAACTTGTTATCCAAAGTCTGGAAAAAGCTGCGGAAATAAGGTACGTGTTCGAGTTTGATGTTGCCACCGACACGTATCACTTGCGAAAAGTCCCGTAAACCATTAGGGTTGTACTGCTTCCATAGCAGAATTAGCTGTGTGTCTAAGGCAATATAATCTGACAGAACTTACCCCTCTCCAGAATGGTTCTGAATAAAGTTGTCCTTCTCCTAAACTGGTTAAAGAACCTAAATTTACCCTATTGTTTAAAGAGAGTTGAAAAGGACCCCGTTTACCCTATTGTTTGATGGGGTTGAATTCAGAGTTTTCCTTCTTCTAAACTGGCTACCAACCAAGGCAAGAAGATTCGGTCTGTCCAGCTATTTAACCCATAGCTACAGAGAGATGGAACCAAGCCTTTTCCAAGTGCATTAGTGTGAAGTGAACAAAACAGCCTCGGTCAGAATTTGAACTCTGCATGCTGAATTCACTTTCTGTGCTGACAACTGTTACAATAACCACACGTCCACAGGTATACATGTGGATCAATGCAAATATTGGCCTGTTTGGCAAAAGGCACCAGGATTTATCCATGACTATACTCCTCTTGTGCAATGGAGAGGGACTGTTTGGAGACCTCCAAGAACCAGGAACGCTTTATTTGTAGCTTGTCTGACTCAGAGACAAGGCTCGTCCCTGGGAAGATGTGACACACTTGGGGCCAAAGTCAAAAAACAAAAAACAAAAAAAACAAAA